GACGAATAAAGGACTTCCTAATCTTAATCTTCTTAATTTCACTCTCTTTGACTCCTTTACTGTCACATCAATCTGATGGAGATTAGTACTGTTTTCTATGTTTTGATTTGACAGCCAAACAATGTTGTACCTCAAGTCCTCTGATCTGACGGTACTCCTCCACCATTTGCTCTATGTTGGTCACCAGACCAGACTCGTATCGCCAGTTGACTTCAAACAGCTCTCTGACCAACACGCCGTCCAAGCGCAGGTTGACTCTCAGAGAATCGATTTCTAACATCTGTAAAACATTCAGAGGTTCAACACTGGCCGTGTGAAGATAAAAAAAAAAAATCAAAGTTTGAAGTTTGTTTTTGTTTTCATTTAGGACCTTCAGAATAAATCAGTTCTCAAGACAAAACTTGAGGTTTTGATTTTCTCTAATTCAGACCATTTGGTGATCAATCATAAAGCACAAGAAAAACATACGCTCAAGTCCTGTGTGAGGTAAACTTCCTGAAATGGTTTATTTTGTATCTTTCCTGGTCCAAGAGTGGTAGCAACTGCCTGTTGAAGAAAGGAAAATCATGACAGGATATTTTAGTCTTAAGATCTCTGGTTATCACGACTGGATGGTACAGCACTTATAAAAGGTTTCATAAAATCTAAGTTGATAGCTCATGATAGTAAAGTTTTTGTCTTGTTATCAAGCTGCTCTGCTCCTCTAGAGGAGCGACTGACCTCCAATAACATTCCATCTAACGAGACATTAACAACATTTGTTTCTTTATCACATACCTTCACAATCTCCTTCATGGTGTTTTTGGCAGAGTCCACAGCTAACAAGTAATAAGGCTCAGGCTGATGTTTAATGACCTCGTGAATAACACTTTAAAAAAGGACATTAAAGAAGCATATTAAATTAATCATTCAGATGCTGTTAGATATTTTCATGAGCAAAACAAAGAGCTCAACCTGGTCAAAGGTTGGCACAAGTGTACGTGTGTGTGTGTTTGTGTGTGTTTGTGTTTGTCAAACCTTGCTAAATCAACAATGTGAATTGTTGGAATGGTGTTGTTGCCTTCACCAAACACGGGTATTTCATTTTCTCGACCAAGCCATGATGTCTGTAGAGACAAGTTTGTATTGAAGAAAAGGTTTTTATTCGAAACATTATGGGGTTTTTTATATTCGTGAACAGTATGTAACAGTATATTGTATACAGTATATAAGTATTTCATCGTAGGATTCTATGTTTAGGTCGTATGAGCAATTTATTTTTGCAATTCTTACCTTGAAAAAGTAGTGAAAGACCTGCTCTCCCATTCCATACTGAAGTCCCGACACAACCACATACGTTGAGAATAGTGATCTGTCCTACAAGCAACAGCAGCACACTGTGAGCGTACAGCTTTTCTGTGTTGAATACAGCCAATCAGATATCGATAACTCACATTTTTGCCTACTTTAACCACCATCCTCTCCAGGTCATAATGTGGCTTGAAGTTCGGATGTGGTCTTCTCTTTAGGAAATCATGATCAGTGAATGGAAACACCAGCTCATTCTGTTGGAAAATAAAAATGTTATTGAACTGTTACGGTCCTGTATAGTACACTTTGAAACCTTTTAGTAGAAAACATCAAGTATAATGTTACATGTAGTAGGTGTTGTTTTTTGCTAACTTTATAGTTTTTTTGGCTAACTTCATAGATGTTGTTTTTTGCTAACTTTGTAGGATTTTTTACTTACTTCAATGTTTTGTTTTGTTGCTTTCTTTATAATTTTTGACAGACCTTATATTTGTTGTTTTTCTTCTAACTTTATAGTTTTTGACTAACTTCATAGTTGCTGTTTTATGCTAACTCTATAGGGTTTTTTTGGTTACCTTAATAGGTGTACCTTGCAATTATCTAATTAGGGATTTGAGACCATGCATATGGATAAGCATCATATATAAAAGACTTTTCTGAAATGTTTGTTAGTTAATCGGAATGTTTACGCTTTAAACAAGTGAATGTACTCTCAGCTTGGTGGCCACTCACAGGACCTGGCTTGATGCAAACCCACGTCAACACAGTGGAGATGAGGATAAACGTCTTTGGTCCAGAAAACTGTGCTATGTCCTTGTGAAGTGCTGCAATCATAACACATGACACAAGAATTACTGCTTGATTTATTAGTTACTTAGTAGTACAACTGTATTGTGACTGTAGCTGTCAGGTGTGGGAGGAGCCAAGCCTGCTTCAGCTGCAGGCAACTAAAAGGCATTTTATTGGACTAGGAAAAACTTAATTCATTTAGGATAGTTTTCGTTGATAACAAAAAGTACGTGATCAAAAGTAAAAAAGCTAAAAACACATTTCTGGCATATTGTGTATGTTATACATAATGTTATATATGTTATAATATGACATAATGTTCTAATATTCTGCACATGGTTTTAATGGTTGCGATCTACTTACCCGTTAGAGCCCACATGGCCTCCTCCACCTGGTCCTCATGTTGGCTGATATTATAGATGATGACATCAGACTCCAACAGTTTTGGAAGAAGCTCATCTCTGTTCAGACCCTTACAAACAATTTACAATGAAATGATATTAAAAATAAGGTCCATGTGTCAATAGGCTCTTAGAAAACAAATACTTACAAAATATTCTTCCAGCATGAATAATCTGTTTTCATCCGATTTCTCAGAAACAGTCCCGACAATCTGCAGCGCTCCTGGCAACTTAAGATCAACCTTGTCCTTCTCTATATCTATTTCAGCATCAACAAGTAATTTACCTGTAGGGTCACACAAGAACTGCAAAGACAGTAGCTATTAGTACCATAAGTGCTACATAACATGTACAAACATTACAGTAAGAGTAGCGGTGGCAATGGTCAAAGCACCAGAAGAAAATAAGACAGATATTAATCATTATCGATCTAAAATCTCTCACAGTCACGTCAATCTGCTTATCAGCGGGAGACTAATTTACTGCCATGATCAACTTAACTGTGAGATATGCTATAAACAGAGACATTATCGCCTCAGCAACTGCAGCCCATGGCAAGCTGGAGGAGAAAAAGAAAGTATCGGATTGATATCGGTATTGGCAGATCAGTATCGGTCAGGTCAAAGTTGTATCGGGCTATCCTTCGTACTACAGTACTATATATATATATTTTTTACCCTGGCAATGTATCCAGATGAGTAGGAGTCTGCGTTGTTAATGAAAACCCGTTTGGGGGGCCGTATCAGTGCCTCCAGTCTCAGATCCCCCAGTCTACCTCGGGAACGGGCAGCTGTGAAATTTCTGAATTTCTTCATTGTGGTTTATACAGGCTGGCTTTGTTTTTCCTTCTTTGATGGTGCTTCGCAAAGTTATTGCATAAAATGTCTTTCTCTACAGCTGCCTCTGCATGTGCTGCTTCTTCCAAATATACTTGGTCCTGGTTGTTCGCTACATCTTGTATTTTTCCCTGTCTCCATCAAACAAAGTTAATTATTCAACACCAGAAATAAATCCTGGTTAGATGGATCATCAACACAAGGGTAGTTTAGTTTGAAAATTAAATATATTGTCTTTGTAGCTAACTCAATGAACGTCGGTTGTAAATAATTTTATTTTGTTTTTATTTTAACTCAACTTAACTATTGTAAATAATTTTATTTTGTTTTTATTTACATCTTTCACTACAGACCCCAGTTGGGATGTGAAGTGTCTTGGCTGTACTGCATGACTATAGAATTATCTACAGTTTAATCTTTGTTGCTGTTTCTTGACTACTTCTCCATCCAATTCTTCTCCAACTACTTTACCTACTGTCCTGGCAAACAAAAAATAAATAATAGATTAAATAAGTGGAGACCAATGTGGGATGATGTCACCAGGCTCTCATCATGTGATCTTTCCCTTCATGCACATTGATTCTCTCTTCATTTTTACATATTTCCACATGTTTTCTTCACCAGGATGCTTTTATGACACAGCCCAAACAACAACAGTCACAACAACAGTCAGTGAGACAACAAGCAGGATGGACAACATCTTGCAGTTTTGCCACCAGAATTTCCTTTTGAGCTTAGTTGCTCTAATCTTGAAACAATATGCTCCGGATTTCAGTGCATCCGATCTGTCCACCAGTTCAGAGATCTTCTGATCTCGTTGCAGAACCTTGTCAACATTTGCAGACACGATATCCACCAGCTCGTACACCTGGGCCTGAGTGTCCTGTAAACACTTGTCGACTGCAGCTGTGTTATAGTCCTGTCCAGTTAAAGCTGTCATTGTGAGAGAAGATTTCTTCAAATAAACCCCAGAACCAATCGCCTGGTGGTCAAGTTGAAGACTGTGGTTTCTTCTGTGGATAATGAAGTTCTGGTGAAATGTCACAGCCCCATGGATTTCCACTGGTTCACTGGAGTTCTGGTGCTAATCATCAGTTGGCTTCTCTATTTATTCTACTGCTTCATCTTGTCCTTTGAATCCTTTGAATTATTATACTTATGTCAGCTTCGTGTGTTGATTCTACGTCCACAGTGAACAGTCTTTGGGGGTGGCACTAGCTAAGATATTAGTGTGGGGTTCTTACACACTGGGTTTGATTTCAGATGTTTTACGGCTTCTACGACATGGACATTACAATGTAAGCGCTGTCGCACCAAATTATAATACTTGGGGTTGAAGGTTGAAAAACAGTAATTTGTCAATAGGCGTTGAGCCCAGAGCCTGTAAAATTTGATGAATGTCCCATCAATATTTGGTTATTGATTAATTTGTCTTCTTTTTCTTTTACATTTTCCATGTATTTATTTCTTAGTTGTCTCTGAATCTAGAGCAGCTTGATTTGACAACTTTGCCATTCTACACTCTTAGGATCATGTTTTTTATGGCATCATGTTGTCTTATATATGTATACTTGGCTGTTATAGCATTCTGAATTAGCTGCCCGATTCACTTAAGCGATAAGGACCTACAGTGTACAGTATATGTTACAGAACTAAACTGTGCCTCCCCAGGAAAGTTGTTGTAAAACAGAAAACTAGCTTGAATCACGTTCCACAGGGTTTTCCCGCCTTTGGTACAATATTAGACATTTATCACCAGTAATAATGTAGCCTAGTTCGTTTAAGCCTTTAAGCCTTACTGCTTTGTGCCAGATTACACGTTGTTGTATTCATATAAACAAATGTCCAAATGTTCAAACAAATGCGCTGGTTAAATAAACTGATAACACAACATTTCTTGATACTCGCTGGGCATGACTAAAGCATGAATGCTGTGTACTGTATACTGTATGTACTACTGCGTATACTACTGTACACTAAGCGCTGAAGGCTTCTTCGTGGCATCACCATCGAGATACGTTTACGTTTAACTTTTCAGCGAATTTACCTCAGCGATGTATCTGGACGAGTAGGAGTCTACGTTGTTTATGAAAACTCGTGTCGGTGACTCCTCCATTTTCAATCTTTAATGCTGGATGGATAGCTGTTGTTGTTGTCGTCTCACTGTTGCCATAGAAACCATCTGCGACCCTGTGCATGTGTTGAGGCGTCGCAAAGAAGGACGCGCTAGTTCGGCGCCATCATGTTGTTATCTTGATCTGTTTGAGATTGTTTCAGGTGTAATGTCTGCAGCATAAATCTTCACAAGAACAAATGTGCATAGAACAACAAGTTAGCCGAACATACGTCGACTTTCATTTGTTCCCATTTATCTAACAAAACAAGCTGATGTCAGATACTTTAATTTTATGTGATATCAGATCATTTATTCAGAATCTTTCTCAAATCATTCCAAAACACAGTTAGCCACAAGTAATCCAAAGGGTGTTAAATTAGTTAAGCCTTCATTGGTTGTAAACAATTCGTGAAACTCAGTCTTATAGACTGTGTTCATACTGATGAAGATTGTTCTGTTTATGGCAAGGTGATAAGATTTATATTACCATCCCTACAATTTTCCCTTGTAGCCTATCAACTTCATCATAATGCATAAATTACAGTATAAAAATACAGTGCACAATTACAGCAGCAATTTTAAAAGTGATATGTGGATTTCACATCATGTTTATCATCATTTATACTTCTGCTTGTTTAGTTCTCAATGAAAGTGAAAAAAATGCAGTGAAAGTGAGCAAACCCAGTCTTTGGTTAAATCTATGCCTTCATTAATCAAAGTAATGAATGTATACATACTAAGGCTGGCTCGATACAACTTCATAACAATACTTTGAGCATCTGCTGATACCAATGTCCCCGTTTAAGGCATCTCATGAAAAGTTGACTATTTGGTCTTGGGTATCGGACCAGACGGGCTATGGTTGTGTTGATATACGATCCCCGATATTTTCCAATATGGACGCGATGCCGATCCTAGTATATACTCATATTGACGAAAAAAATCTTGCTGTAGAAGAACTATTGTGCCACCACAGCAAAGTTATCAAACTGAGCAAGTTCAAAGGAGCGTGTTCCGATGGCAGCCCAACCATTCTTTGGAGTCAAAACCACAGCATTCTTCCAAAGCAGATATCCATTCAGCTTTCCTGACGCATACTGACCCTGCAAAAAGAAAACATTTAGCTTACAGCGGTGTGACCTTGTCAGTGTTCAAAACACGGATGTGTAATACTCAACAAAAAATATGCAGCCAATTTGCAAACGGCCCCTTTAAAAGCAATAGTATGAGAAAAGACTGATATGAAGAGGTGAACCAACTCCTACCTCCACAGTCAGTGACAAGGTGTACCATCTATATTCATGTGTGCCAGCCTGACCCTCGGCCAGGACTCTCTCACCAGCTAATAATAAGAAACGACACAACAAACAGGAACACATATTGATAAGGATATCATTACAACACAAAACATTGACATTATTTATGGCTCATGGGTTTAAAATGCATGGCTCATATCTAAATGAATGTCATTGGAAATTGCTGGTTAACACTCTAGCCCTAGAGTAAGGCCACCTGTAAAGGTCAACCTTAAAGACATGGTTTTTTCTGCAAAGACTTTGCAAGTTCTCCCCATTTCTGTGAGTTTTCTATTGGTTCTCTGGTTTCTACCCAGAGTCTAAAAAAACGGAGCTTTGGGATCAGGAGGGTCACCAGGTCTTGATCCAACTTAAAATGTAACTTGTGGCACCACGGTCTGTAGCCCATAAACTGAGACATGGTGAGAGTATTGATACTGACCAAGGTCATTGGTAACTCTGTAGGTGCCGTCTGTAAACACCCAGAAAAAAACTCCTTCCGCTCCACGCACGAATCCGCCTCCTTTGTTCACACGAGCTGCAACGTACGCACCGCCAGTATTGCTCTTCTCCATGTAGACGTCACACGTCACTGTTATGTTCTGCCTTCAGCCAAACACAAACAGACATCACAAGGAACTCTTTTGCTGAGGGTGGGGGGATTACATTTGTACAAATACATACAAAATAAGTACAAAATCTCACCATTTATGGTCGCCTAAGACGCTGATTGTCTGGTCAGCGTCTGCCACCCATGTTACGGGTCTCTGGGTAACAACCTGTCGTAGGGTAAAGATGTGAGGCCCGGGATCTGTCAGGTTGATGTGGTACTCAAACACACCTGTCTGGTCAGCAAAGTTTGGAGCTTCAGTGAAGGGAGGATTCCCTTTATGGTGGATTAAGTAAAAAGATAAGAGAGTAAGAAGGTTATAATAATGATAATACATGTATATTTATATTTACATATTTTTTACTTTTTGGTGGAGCACTCATTACAATCAACATGTCTTTTTGGTGGAGCACTCATTACAATCAACATGGAGACTTTTTTGTAAGTAAAAGTGACATGCAACAGTGATACATGATAAGGTAATTTTCTTTTTTGTTCTTTTTTGACACATTAAGAGAACAAAAATGTTCAGAATAGAATCAACATGTCAAGGTTACTTACGAACACTAAAGTCATCCTTGTAGGATTTTGGGAAGGTGGCTGAAGCAGGTGGGTCAGAATAGCTGCCTTTCTGTCCTGTGGTAAGTGTGGTGAGCGTGTAAACCTCATCTTCATCCAGATCTAAGGTGAACGATCCGTTCAGCAGCTGACACGGGCAACATGTGAAAGACAATTTGTTTAATGGAGAAGCAGAACACAGTGTGAAAGTATTGTATGTTCTAACCGTGAACCCACTGTTTTACCTTCACTGGAGCTAGCTTCTCAAAAAAGGAGGGTCTCTTGGTCTCAAAGTTAAACTGGGACCTCCATACTTGGAGTTTCTTGATGTTAGCCTGTTAAAGAGAAAAAGAAAACTCTAAGACATGTTAGAAAACACAAACCAAACTGAAGGGAACTAGGGATATGTAACAGAGGAACTCACAAAGGATCCCTGGAGCTGGAAGGTTGCTTTCTGTGGTGTGACTTTATATGGAAGCAGTGGGGGTCTGATGCATACAGAATGATTGTGAGTCTGCACTGGGGGAAAAACAAGCCGACATGTTGAAAAGCTCCCTCTTTTACATTTCTTTAAGAATCAGGGAAATCAGTGACAAAGTTATACGTAAAATATTGTTGTTTTTTTTTAAAAAGGCAAAAGTCAAACATGCCATTGTTTCTATTTTTTTAAAAAAAAAGACAAAAGTCAAACATGCCATTGTTTCTATGACAACAGTGAGATTTCCTTCTCCGTCAGTCAGGGCAACATAACTCCCTCCTTGGTCCAAGTGTCCAACAGTCTGGAGGTAGGTCCATCCTGGCTGTGTAAACTGTGTGGTATGGGCTACAGGAAAAACAACACCACAGGATACGGTCAAGGAGATTGACCTCTCTAATAATGTAACTCAGCAGCAAGAATACTGACATATACTGTATATTGTTTGGCCAATCAACACCACTTGTTGGCACTAGTAATTAGTTAATTAACAGGACAGAGGAGTGATGCCAAAAATCTGCTTTAATACATGAGAATGTTTTTTTTGTTTTTTTTACAGTCGATGTAGTAACATAGTACAGACATTACATGCATGTGGGGGGGGGGGTCCTCCTCTTACATTTCAGTTCAGCTCCTTAACTTGATTTTCCACCGTAGGTCTGAACTCACATACTGTTCATCAGTACCTATAGTACAGACATTACATGCATGTGGGGGGGGGGTCCTCCTCTTACATTGGAGTTCAGCTCCTTAACTTGATTTTCCACCGTAGGTCTGAACTCACATACTGTTCATCAGTACCTATGTCACACACCTACATACACTAACACAGTACATGGGAATGATGGAAAAAAACCGAGGACCCGCTGTAATAGTGTAATGTTAACAGTCTTTAAGTAAACAGAAAAAAATACTTAAAAATATTCACTCTAACAAAAGAAAAAGATGAAGAATAGGACAGAGGACACGCTGCTCTTTACAGACCTGTGATCCAGATGGGAGATTCCACTGCGTAGTAGCCACTCCATGGCTCATTAGCTGTCATCAGCCCATCTCTGCCAAACGGTAGCTCATTGTAGTAGCTGGCCACAAGATTCCAGGCGATAGTGCTGCAAGAAGATTCATGATTAGCATCTGGACATCGCCCAACAGCCTATGATCAGATACTTTTATCAACGGCACTAGATATCTGTGGTCCTGGGACACACTTGTGTATCATAGAAATCAAATAATACGGTAAATGGTCCAAAAGTTGTTGTTTTTTTGCAGTAAATTGCTCTTTCGTCCCTAATGTAAACAAACTAAAAAAGCCAAACATGTTAGCTGCATTAGCAGCCACATCTACTAGCCTGTGGGCTCAATTCAGCCACTATCAGTATCATAAACATCAAATAATAAATGGTCCAAAAGTTTGTTTTTTGCAGTAAATTGCTCTTTCGTCCTGAACGTTTCTTGAGTTCAATAAAGTCGATCTGTTCCACATGTGTATGGTCGACTCACGCGGTCATGTTTCCGTTGACGTAGTTCTGGTTGAGAATACGTGCCCAGCATCCTCCTCCAATGGCATTATTGAAGGTGCTGTAGTCCTCTGACGACCAAAGTGTTTTCTGAGTCTGTAAGGCCTCCGGTATAGTGGTGGTGCCTGGGTAGTGGGCACTGCAGGTTTAAAAATGAGAGAGAGAGGGAGAGAAATAATTTAGGAAACAGTTGACAACATATGTCCTAATAAAAATGCAAATAAAAACTTAGTATTAGTACATAATACCTTTTCATATACACAGTATCTTCTCCTACGTGTCACGTGGTCGGTCCCATTATGACCTCCACTCCCAGGCTTTTATTACCTACAGTGTCCCTGCCGTGTGACAAATCTAGGCTAAAAGGCATTTTTTACTCCACACTCTTTAACTTGGAACACTTTGCACCAAGACTTTTTTCTGCTGCTCATCTGAAACTACAATGGAACCACCACAATAATAAAGTTTTTACTGACTGTGTGTCACTGGATGTGACCAGCAGTTGATCCTTGTAAAATCAAGGTTGGTAAAAGGAAGTGTAGAAGAAGAGGACGTGTTATGATGGCCAATCAAGTGTGAGTGCTAGCTCATGGCTCACAAAACGATGCAAACACAGGTTCCGCCTCATGATCTCTCTTTAAACTACTTTCAAACTGTTAGTCACATATTTGTTGTTATGCCTCATGACACAATATGACGAGATCATCAATCGTGTCCCACACATTAGCATTTATTAGCACACTCTGACGAGATTCAGGCATTATATTATAGTTTCAATATCGAAGGAAAAAGTGATACTGACTTGTACAAATACTATGTCATTTACATTATTAATCAGGCCAAACATGTTATCAGACATCCTTTTTTTTATAAGGCATTAGTATCAAGTCAAAACATGTACATGTAAACCAAGCTCTGAAGGATCCTACCCTATCACATCTACAGCTCGGCTCAGCTCAGGGTCGAGCAGCAGAGACCGGGCAACAGGCTGCCACAGGTTGTCACTGGCTATGATCCTGATGTTCTCCAGTCCGTTTTTATCCAGAGTGTACCGCAGCAGCTAGTACAGTCAGTCACAGCCGCACAGGAAGCATCAAGGACAGAGATATGAATACTCAGATCTTCATTTGTTTTATTTACAGAAAAGGTTTCATATCTAAGGTTGTAGGAATAATGGGGAAAAGTACAGGAAGTCAAGACGATAACAACCTGAGTGACCAATAATAATGACTGTTCTAGTGTATGATGTGTTTATATGCAGGATAGAATATGATGTCACCACTGTGTTAGCGTAGGTGAGAGACATAGGTACTGATGTACAGTATGTGAGTTCCGACCGCACCGTAGAAACAGAACTCTGATGTAAGTTGAGAACCCTGTGTGCACAATAAACAGCTGTCCTGGGGAGACCAGTAGGCACCAGAAGCATCTCAATGTCAAAGCGTGTGGTCGTCCAGATGTACTGCAGCTGACACAACATAACAAAACCCTTCAACTCCTCCCTCCAACCGAAAGGAAAAGCAGCCACAAACATTGAGCTCAAGGTTACATTAGTACCACAGTCGTTGCAGTTGGAGCAACAGAAGGAAATGAAACCCCACTATCCCTTGTTATCCCTCAGTACCCTCTGACTGAGGAGAAAATGATGTCCACATACTGGACCTTACGGTCAAATATGTGACAATTAAAGTCCAAAGTAAAGACCCATACTAAAAGATTTTTGAACTTCTACTGCTTTGAGGGTCCATTTTAGCCCACATTACTTTACTTACCCAATCACCTGAACAGAATAATTGAGGGCTGAGTCAGCGAGCATAGTTTCTGCGATCGTCCAACCACCATCTGCTGCGATGATGCCAACATCAGTTAGGTCAACTTTATCCAGAGTTTCCCGGAGAACCTTGAGAACAAAGACATGCTCTCAGAAGAACCCAGCTTGATGTCTGTGGCTTCTCTTCCTCTTTACCCACAATGCCCTTGTTTAGATTAGCAGGGTAGATCGGTCAGAAGCATGAATATGTCTCGTCTGGAAAAATCTAATTAGTCCCCAAAGAAGAAGAAGAAGAAGAAGAATGGTGCAGTTCATCAGATACAAAGCCACCTGGCTGCAGATGAGCTTCTGCTGCACGCTAGCCCCCCAGGACGCTATGACCAGTTTGTGTCATACCAAGAAAAAACAACTTCAGAATAATGTTGCTGGTTGTCATCAGCATCTTTATGATCTATGTCTACGGTGAATAATATAAAGGGTTTTTGGATAGTATTTAACTTGTGTTTCATTTAGGACATATGGATTGGGTATTTGTCCATAATAAGACCAATATATGTAGCTGCTGTTAATGTACTTAACCACTGTTAACACATTTAAAATATAAAACAGAACAATAATAAAAAATTAATTAATTAAAGTTACCTTGATGTACTTGCTGTCAAAGTTTCGCTCATTCCAAATCTAGAAAGATTGTATAAAAAACACAAAACTTCATTTTTAATCTGATGGGTAAATGATTCCAACAATGAATAAGTTACAGAAATACCAATGACAATATTCGAATCTGTGGCTCATTAACCAATCAGAAACTCTTTATTGTAGTGTTGCTCTAAAACACTAGGCTTTAAAACACTCTGTCACAATTGTCATTCACCTTACATTATTATCATTCTTCTTCAAAACAAGTGACAGAAGCTTTACATTCATTATGTCTACTTCTAAACATATGCTTGAAATAAATACAAATAATTTTAATTTTTTTAAATTTTATTTAACATCTAAATTTACAAACCTTTTTATTAAAGTTACCTGAGTGACAGAAATAAACAAACAACATTACCATGAGTGAAAATGTCAAAAAGGGATTACTCACCCCAACATACTGAATGTCCAGGTCATGGTATTGCTTGGCACCAAGGATCCAGTTGACCACATACGATGCAGTTATGTCTGGGAAATCATAGGGCCAGTTCTTTCCATTGCCAACCCAACCAGGAAATGCCCATGGTAAACCTACACAGCAAATACACTGTAAGACCAGATTTAGATAGACCCCAGCAGAGGGCGTAATACACTGTTTACCGTGGACCAGTCAATCTCAGAGCAACAAATAGAGACAAACCATTGGTGTCTTTAATTAACCTAGACTCCACTCTGCATGTTAAAACAGTATGACGTTAGAAAATAAAAGCCACCAGGAGCTACGTCGTAAACTGGATCCTCTTACCTATAAGTGTAATGTTTGGGTTTCTCTTCTTAGCCTCTTTCATTAGCCACCATTCATAGCCCCTGAAGTAGTTCTCATCGTTCTCATAGTGCATGTGCGATGGTTCAGTTCCATCTAAAATAGGTCAGTTGAAACAGTGCAGGGAAAGGTTAAGTCAGGAGAGAGCAGAGGAGAGAAGAAGAATAGTAAAACGTCTTCCTCTTATAACTCGATAGGCCTGATCAGATTTTTATATTAATAAACAAAACATTTACATGTGTAAATACTGCTAACACTTTCTATGAAAACATAAATCAGGAGTGACAACACATTGATTGTGATTCAAGTCAAATGTTGTCATTTGTATCTACTGTTCTATTTCATCAAAGTACCTTGACCCTAAAAGACAAATGCACACATGAATTTTCCGGACTTCAACTTCAGCTGAGTGCAGCTCGTGTCAGACATGTCAGGCACAGTAACCACAGAAGCAGAAATACCAGTGAGTACTTGTTACTCACCGGTGGTCTGAGCATCTCCTCCAATCTCCACCTTCAAGATATGTAGTGAAGCTCCAAAATTTGGCTAAATACGGCAGAAAAGACAAAGTTACACACGTGTTCCACAGAGATGTTTTGAAGAGAAACGAACTTTACATCATCTGGTCTCACCTTGAACAGGTAGTCAAGGATCTGGCTGCGGTACGGCTCTGCATAATTCACCAGTAACCGAGATGTGGCCTTAACAGAGTGGAGTGGGGGGAGGGGTAAACAGTGTCATCAAAAAGATGGAATGCTGACATCAGGCCAACTTTTACCATATGATTTATTGTTGAGACATACAGGTGCAGGGAGTAAGTTTAACCATACTGTATATTTAAAAGTAAAAAAACACTGTAAAACACCAAACATTAAATACTCTTCTTGTTCGTCTGTTTGGGTTATAGTGTGATATAGGTCAAACTTTCTTTTCTATATCCCCACCGGAGTTTTACTCTGAACTTGTATTAACCAATGAGTCGAGGAAGTAATACAACGTGTGGACAGCCGCATACCGAGCGTCAATGCGTCACCACGGCAACCTTCGTAACAGTACGGTGTCTGCAATGGATCAATTAAGAGAAGTACAAACACTATAACGCTCAAATGACCAGAACAAATGTAACACATGCATATATACAGCATGTATTTATTCATTTATAAAAAATGTCAGCTTTTGATTTTAAAATTTACACAGGAAATGTTTATTTATGTCTTTATTGTGCAGAAAATCCCACAAATCCCACTTTGGGAATCCCTGATGATATCTTCCACCTGATCAAAGATTCTCCTTTTTTAACAGCAAATCCACTTTGGTGTTTAAAGACCATGACATTTCCTTGAGATATTAAACGTTTGCCAATGTTTGATAATGTGGTTCCGGTTCTATAGTCACCATAATGAATAACATGATGACACGAAGTCTTCTTCACTAAACACAAAACTAACCCAAGACAGATTTAAGTAGATTTAAACTAAATCTGAAGCTAGCAGTTAACAACCGTGTGCCGTATTGAACGTTGACCCAAGACAGATTTAAGTAAAGCTAAATCTGAAGCTAGCAATTAACAACCGTGTGCCGTATTGAACGTTTCGGGAGATTAATCTAAAAACATATTAGTTTACAGTTCATATCCATAAAATGTACTAGTTTTTTGTGGGTGGCTAGTTTATCAGTTAGTAAAAACAGTAGACAATACATATTATTAAAGTACCGACTGACTGAGGTAATACTGTAAACGGAATTTTATTTCACCCCTCTTCAATACAATGGGAGGTAACTTTGAAAGCAGGAAGTGAACAACAACAACAGTGACACACTCACCCCTCCGCCGCTCAAACCTCCTATTCCGTCAAAAACCCTCCCCAGTCCCTTCCGGTCATCCAGGTCGTAGGTGAGGGGCTGTGCACTGGTAAACAGCAGCAGGAGAGAGACAACGAGGACAGACAACACGACCGTTCCCTCCATGTTCTCACCGACTGTAGCGACAGAATGAGTCCTTTTGTGGTCACATGACAACGCTTCCTCGCGGTCACGTGATTAGAAAACTAAAGAAGTATTGTATTTGTATTTAATTGTAGGGATCGTGAATTTGGAATTATACTGAGATTTACAATTTTGAAGACCTTTAATGTTTGATGGAAAACTGTGGGCCTTCAGTTATAGTGAAATGCAATTGTGTTTGTCTGTACTGAACGTGTCGCTCCCATATTTTGGCCTCTGGGTGGTGCTAAGCACGCCTTCTTAAAGCTTTTGTCAATCATTTAAATGCACTGATACAAAGTTGAATGTACATTCAGTCCAGTCCTTGAAAGACAGTTTTTCCAAACGGAAAGGACTGAAAAAAGCAACTTATAATAAAGTATAATGTGGTCCTGAGCTCTATCGTCAGAAAACAACAGACAGACACACAGTGAGCGGCGCTCCCCCAGGTCACTCTAGCATTTTCTTATGTAAATAAAAAGCAATCCAGAGATTTTGTTTTTTACTCTTTAAATGTAATTTATATGTTCATCAAAGTTTAGCTGAGGATCAAAAATAATGCCTAAGAACTTTTATTCAGCGATCTTCTGCATTTTATAATTTTGTATGAAAAAAATGAAAATTTCATTTTACACTTGGTTTTTTAGTTGATTTTCGTAATATATTTACAGGAGATGGCGAACGCAACATGGCGTACATCGAGGATGTCGTTAAACCAGTGCCACCATTTTACTTAATTTCATATGGTTAAATTGTTCAACCAAGCAATGTAGAAACTAAACAAGAGACGGATACTCAATGAATTCTGTAGAGTGTAAAAATTCTAACTTGCTTTTTGTCTTACTGGCATGACCAAATTTACTCATCATATCCACGAACAGCGTTATTATGTTTCTACAGAAAACCAGGTTCACTTGTATTGCAGGGAATGGCCAGTAGCACTGGTCTTGTGTAGAAAAGACAGGTTTAGCAGTTGCATCACTTGACTGCTGAGTATTATGTGGTTCCTGAGGTTTTATTTACAAAAGAGAGAGAGAGAGAGAGAGAGGAACACCAATAATCTGCCTTTTCCGTGTGAAGTTAGCCAGCATATAATCTCTATCTGTGTGTCTGAGTTAGGCTTGGAGCATAAAACTACAGATGTTCAGCTGCCACTCCCCTCCCCCCTGCACTGCCCGCGCACACACACACACACATGCAACATTCATTTAGTTTCCGCATCCTCATATGGCACAGTCTGTTGCCATGCAAGCAACAAATCCACCTCTCATTTGGACTTTTAATAATCAACAGAAAAAGACGTTGAAGGCACTCACATGTGGATCTAATCTGCCAGGATGACTCATTTCACCAAACTGTTCCTTTTATTTCTTTGTCTGTTTGTTTCTAATGAATGCCATAATCACGGCCAGCTTGGATTGAAATGGAGCGGTGCGGTGGACACTCACAAACATGACAAGTAAGTCAAAAAAGACAGAAGAAGAAGAGAAATGGTGTTGATACTGGATCTACGATTTAATATGCAGTACATGTGTAAATGTAAGGCTGAATGTTTATTTATGTGAATATTGGTGTTAGTGCCGGACACACAGGTAGAAGTAACAGGATTAGAAGACTTGGTAGGTAGGCAATACTTTTTGTTTTCTTGTCTTTGTTTTAAACATATATTAAGCAAGAAGTTGATTTTGAATTTTCAAAGGAAAGGTTTTGCATGAATCACAGTGAGGCGGCAGGAAGAGGCTGAATATCCTCAGCAGCAGAAGCCTGTGGCTGCTGGAGGAGAAAAGAAGGTATCCGATTGATATATTAATATACAGTATCAGCAGATACTCCAAGTTGCAGTATCAGTGTCAGTATTGGACATGATAAGTTGTTAGGTTAGTTAAAGCCATCCCTAATGTCAACTATACCAGTAGTAGTGCTGTAGTGCTGATCTAGGTGTCCACACCTGGGGCGGCAGCATGGTGTGGTGAACCAGCCTCTATGGATCTTGTACTACGCTGCTGCTCATGATTATCGCCTCTGTGCAGACTAGCCCTCTACAGCCACTGGTAGGTCTTCCAGATATTAGCCTCTTCCTCTATGGACCATTGGTACTGTACATGTCATGAACTGTAGGACTGTGTCTGTCCATGACAGCCCTGCAGGTGTCACCTTTTCTCTGCTTGAGGATGTTAGTGTTATAGCAAAGCTATTATGCAATGCTGAGGTGCCGATGGCCTTGATCCTGCTCTGTCCAGCTGGTACTTCAGACTACTACCCTACCGTGTGCATGTATCTGATTGTGGCTGAACTCCTTTAGGTCTCTCTTGGTTCCATGTATTTACATTAATAACGTCTTTCTCCAGCTCCTTGATAAAGAAGCCTCCAGATGTGACCAAAGCTCGCAAAATGAAGACAGAACACCTGCTTAAAGTAGAGGATCATGATTTCACTATGAGACCAGCATTCGGAGGTAAAATCTGGGTTACTTAACAACTAATACCAAACACCCATACAAGCCAGCATTCGGAGGTAAAATCTGATCTAACAACTAATACCAAACACCCATACAAGCTCTGAATCGGTTTACCGCCGATGCTACATTCACTTTCTTTGTTTTTTTTTTGTTTTGATTTTTTTTTTTTTGGGGGGGGGGTTGTGCCCTTCATTATGGCAACCAGGTATTAGTCAGACTCTTCTGATGTTTTTGATTAGGATGTTACCACTGTGTTAGCATAGGTGAGTGACATAGGCACTGATGTGAGTTCCGACATTTGGTGAAAATTGAGTTACATTGCCCTTATAGAAATGGAACTTTGACCTACATCGAGAACCCCCTGTAGTTTGTATAGAGAGTTTGGGTTGCAGCCCTGTGATTAAGAATCACTAGTCTATGTTGTTGCCCCATTGGGCCCATTGTGGCCTTCAACTGAAAAAGTTTGCCCACGTCTGCCCTAGAACAATTGAAAGAGCGATGGATGTTGAAAAACAGATAAATACTAAAGAAAGAAAAATGAATACAAGATTAATAGTAATTTCCAATATCAATATAATGAAAAAACAAGTTCTTTATCAAATACATGAATCCAAAGTTAAGACAACCCTTACAGTAAGGTGTGATGCAGCCCGTCCAATCGTTTAGGCCAGATGTTTCCAACACGTTGCATTTACAGTAGGAGTAACAGTAAGTCCATCATACTAATTCATGAAGCGACTTTGAATTCTGATCTTGCATTAGATGTACTAATGCGCTGTAAGATTACACGTGGTTGCACATCTACAGTATAAAGGTCACATGCATGTGTTGGCTCTTGATTGATTGTAGCTGGTGTGTTGGTGTATTATGGCTCTTGGTAAGATGACACATTAGGCTTGTTGTTAATCCATGAGCAGCAGCTTAAGAGAGGGGGGAAAAGCCATGTATGGGCTGAGTGGATGACTACTACTTAAACTGTATATCATTAGCACAGTGCTTTTTTAATGTAGCGGATCAGTAATGCTGTGACTTCTCTGTTGATCAGAGGTCCTATTGACGCAGCTCTCCAAAAAAAAAAAAAAAACAGTGGAAACTGTAGGGACAATATGGTTATTACATCATAAGGCACAAAAAGAAATATCATCATGTTTTCATACCAGATCTGACCAGATCTGACCAGATCACCGATCTCTGGTGGTATGATTAGTGGGAATGTTAATACCTCGTCTGAATAGGTCCTGGTGTATGTGTAGATATAATCTTATCACATGCTGGCGACAGAGTCAGTGCTTAGAGGAGAGCTGATCACTTGCTGCTCTGAACATAAACACATGACAATGATCTGTAACGTGCACAAATGACTTATATGCTTTTGGCAACTATACAAAAATAGCCTTAAATATTTATGTTTCTAGGTTTTGCAAACCTAAAAGCCACCTGTTTACATGATATGTCATCACTTTGTCTTGTCTCGCATTTGAGGTCCGGCGATCCCTGTTGGAGTGGACGTCCAAGTGGAGAGCTTGGACAGCATCTCTGAAGTTGATATGGTAAAAATGATCCGTCTTTGTTCATATTTGTTTTTAAAGTGACAGTCAAATCCGACTTATGCCAGGAGTCTGTTGAAAATATAGAAAATAAATAAGAAATTCAAAAAGTATGTAGAATAAATATGTTTAATAGTAGTGTACATAAGTACCTACTAAGTACGCACTTATGCTAACTCATTGCTAACATAATAACCTAGGTCCTAGATTATCCTAGATTCCAGTCTGTCTATGGTTGGAAGCCAAAATGAAAAGGACAAAGTTCCCAAAAAAACAACAAAAGCAAATCAAATCAAATAAAAATAGTTCATTTCTATCAGGCATATGCTGATTTTATAATTTTGGATAGGAACACCCGGTCTAGAGGCATAACACGTGTCGCTTCCTTAAGCCTAACTTTTAAAGATTGTGCTTTAGTTGCTTAGTTGTGATATGATTGTGACTTTTTCAACTGCATCTCTGGTTCAGTTCTGGTTTTCCTCCTGCCACCAGGACTTTACTATGACTCTTTACCTGAGACACTACTGGAAGGACGAGCGGTTGTCGTTCATCAGCAGCACCAATAAAAGCATGACGTTTGATGGTCGTCTGGTAAAGAAGATCTGGGTCCCTGATGTCTTCTTTGTCCACTCCAAGAGGTCTTTTATTCATGACACCACCACAGACAACATAATGCTGCGGGTCTTTCCTGATGGACACGTCCTCTACAGTCTGAGGTAGGAAGTGTTCGATTTTCAAAATGAAAACCATATGTGACCTTCACGGCAAATCAGGCAACAAGGTTGCACAATACAGTAAAATAGTTTAAGATATGTTGGAGGTTTCCATATCCACAAAGCTGTGTCTGAGTAAGTATGGATGTGGTCTTTAACTGACCATGGCCATTTGCAGTGACCAATATGCCTTGGAAATTACTTTTTCAGCACAAGCGGTAATGTTGGTCAGGTAAGACATCTTCTACTTTTTCTTTTGGTTGTTCCCTGTAGGGGTCGCCACAGCCCATCATCTGCCTCCATCTCATCTTATCTCTTGCCTCCTCTGCTTTTACACCAACTACTGTATTTCCATGTCCTCTTTTACAACATCCACAACATCTTCTCCTTCGTCTGTCAACACCAACTCCAACATCCTTTGTCCAACCTCTCCACTATCTCTCCTCAACACACGTCCAAACCATCTCCACCTCTCCTCTCTAACTTTATCTCCAAACTGCTCCACCTTCACTGTCCCTCTGATCTGCCCATTTCTAAACCTCTCCATCCTGGTGACTCCCAGTGAAGATCTCAGCATCTTCATCTCCAACACCTAGGTCGTCTATAAAATGAATTCCTCCTGAGTATTTTCCTAATTGTTATATTTGTATACTTGTATTTGTATTCCCTCCATGAATACATTCTTGAAAGAAATGTAACTAACAAAGCTAACCTGTTCTAAAACTTCTCTTAATTAATCAATAATGTAAGATTGTAGGTATGGCAGCTATGTTCCACTGTTTAATCTGTCAACATCAGCATATACAACTCTCAGAATAATCACAGACCTTGGCTGTGACTGTTAACTTCTAGCTGCTCTTTTAGCCTCACCAGTGAGATGTAGAAAAAAATGATTGTGTTTAGTTGGTGTTTTTTGTATAATACTTAATGATTTGTGTTATAAAATAATAACATTACCATTTTTGGTATTTGTGTTTTAGTAACAAATACTGTATACTATGCTAAAAATATTGCGTCTTATAGCCATTACAAGAACAAAAAGTGTTGGGTTTTCTTTCAGTTTGTTTGTTTCTCTGTGTTTATAGAGTGACAGTGACCGCAGCCTGTAACATGGACTTTAGCCGCTTTCCACTTGATTCTCAGACCTGCTCACTGGAGTTGGAAAGCTGTGAGTTCAAGTTGATTTACTTATATGTTTTATACATTTCAGGATGCTTTTTATTATACACCGCTTCCCACGAACCAACTGTTGGAGAATTAGAAAAAACAAACAACCTACAGTATTTGGCCATCATGCAGTCACACTTAAGAAAATGTAAATTCTAATTCCAAAAACCAGCAGTTAAACAGGTCAAATAAAGAGTGAAAATGGACGAGGATCATGTTTGAGATTTTTATGGACTTCATAAATGTGTGAATTATGCAAACCTACTCTGGGAGAGATTAACGCTATAAAGCTGGTAATGACCGTTGATAGAAGCAGTGGTGGAAAGCTGACACTCAGTGAAGCCTGAAAGCAACTGTCCATTAAGGCTTTTGTCTTGGGTAATAAAAGATCAGTTTAAACCTAATCCGCCTAAAATGCATCCAAAAATAGCAAATGAATTAAAAGTTGGAGCAGCAGTACTCACTCAATTACCATCCGTAAGCTAAGCTAAAACAATTTGTAGCAACAGAAAACAGAGAGGAGTCGGCCGTAACAGATTTAAGGTCCAATTTCGGTGGAACGTACACTCTGTAACAAGAAAATCTCCATCTGTTTAACTGTTAAACAGGTAAACTCAACACCATCTCTTCCTATAAAGGCAGAACTCGGTGTCGCTAATTAGCAGAGCTACCCGAAAATTTAAACATAAAGAGATATGTTTCTTAAACTGTTTGACATTTAAAAATGCACAAAGCACAAGTATGACGGTGTGAATGTCTAAAGTTTGGATGTTTTGCAGATGCCTACACAGATGAAGACCTGATGCTGTACTGGAAGAGTGGAGATGAGTCACTCAGCACTGACGATCGCATCTCTTTATCACAGTTCCTCATCCAAAAGTTTCACACCACGTCTCGCTTGGCCTTCTACAGCAGCACTGGTACGCAGCAGCAGCAGCAGCAGCAGCAGCAAAAAAAAAACATGATTAGATTAACTCAGATCTTTACTAACACAACAGAATACCATTGGTATTAGCATTAGCGTTAGCATTAGCTTATTATAAAAGAAAATAAAGAGTGTAACTGACTGAATGTTGTTGTTACTGATTTGTCAACTTCACTGGAACTTCTCAGGTGACTTTAATAAGCCTAAACTACCTTGTTGCTGTGTCTGCAGGCTGGTACAATCGACTCTTCATCAATTTTACACTGCGTCGGCACATATTCTTCTTCCTGCTTCAGACATACTTTCCCGCCACACTGATGGTGATGCTTTCATGGGTCTCCTTCTGGATCGACTGGCGAGCCGTCCCAGCCAGAGTTTCCCTGGGTAACAATTACATTTGTTCTTCTGATCATTTAAAATGAAACTGGATGTTTAGGTTACTCATATTAAGTCATCTTTCTGACAAATAATGGAACTGGAGTTAATAGTATTTGTTAAAAGCATAATAACATTTGTACCATATAATTACTAGTTTTAGTAGTAGCACTGCAAAATACTTTTATAATAGAAAAATTAAATGGAAGATAAATAATAAAACTCATTAAAATGAAAAATAAAACAACAACGAGATCAAATCAAAAGGCAAAATCATTTTTTACTGAAGTCTGTGTGTGTTCTGTGTGTCTTGTGGCCAGGCATAACTACAGTACTCACCATGTCCACCATCATCACTGGTGTAAATGCATCCATGCCCCGTGTGTCCTACATCAAAGCTGTGGACATTTACCTATGGGTCAGCTTTGTCTTTGTCTTTCTGTCTGTCCTGGAGTACGCTGCTGTCAACTACCTGTCCACTGTCCAGGACCGCCGCGAACGCAAGTTGAGAGAAAAGGTGCAATCTCAGGTACAACTTTTACAAACTTTTTTTCTTTTTTGAAGTAAAACACCATTCAATAATAACACAGGTCCTCTCTACCTTCTGGGTTTTACCAATGTGTTACACTATTCTAAGTATTGGACCCATCGTAATGGGGTTTATATTACATACCACATTAAACTAAATGGTGCTTTCTGTGGGTTTGGGTTGCATAGACTAACACTGTGGATTCCCACATTGTGGGAAAATAAAATCCTTTTTTTAAAATTTCTTATTTCCTACTTCTCGTCTTCCAGTCTCTGCCCTGCACCTGTGGCATCTCCCAGACAAGAACCATGATCATGTTGGACGGCACCTACAGTGAGGCAGACATGAACAGCTTGGCCTGCTTCACTGAAGAGTCACTGGTCCCTGAGGAGGAACAGGGAGATGCTTCTCAGAAAGCTGAACGCATGGTGGTCCATCTATCAGTCAGCAGTGAGTCTACTCAAACCACCACCAAGAAGAAGAAGAGCTTGCGAACTCTCAACATCATCCAGAACACACATGCCATTGATAAATACTCTCGGATGATTTTCCCAGGTTCATACATCTTTTTTAACCTCATATATTGGTCTGTCTACTGCTGAGAAAAATATAACGCTGCCATGACTTGGAAATTAGAGACACAAAGACAGGAGACCCTGGGGTGTTCATGGAAAGAAGATTCTACTCATGAAAGTCACTGTGATGCTGTTTGATATTTAGAATTAGGTCCTGATACTGAGCTTCACCGTTGGCACAGTTTGTCTTTTATTCTCAACTCTGACATCATGTAGAAGCGGCTACACTATCTGCAGCACTTGCCATAATGGATCCCAAAGGAGAGCGTAGACTTCGACTTCTACTTGTTTCTAAGACTGTGCAAAAGATGGACAACTTGGATGTGGATGTTTTTGTCTTTGAGGACACCAACAAATTCCACTTTTGTTTCTTTACCTCTTTTTGCCAGTTCAGACTTGGTCCACATTTTATTTTTTTTAATTAACAGTTATTCAAAATTGCCTATTTTTTTTCTCAATAAATTCTTCCCTAAAGTTATTTGTGTGAGTATGTTAATTGAACCCTTTCTTTTGGCTACTCTAATCTCTAAAAGATAGAACTGTCTATCCATCTATCTATCTATCTATCTATCTATCTATCTATCTGTCTATCTGTCTATCTATCTATCTATCTATCTATCATTATTATTATATTCTTTTAATCTATTGTTTCTATTGACTGAAGCTTTACTCACGTTTGTTTTATTTGAAAAAAAACATTATTATTATTATTATTATTATTATTATTATTATTATTATTATTATTATTATTATTATTATTATTATTAGTATTATTTTCGAAACGTTTGTTGTCACGAACCACTCATGCGTTTACGTTTGTTTGGTTTTTGAATTTACACGATGTCTGTAAAGGCAACACGTGTACGTTAAGTCGGTGAGATTCTTCTGTGCTCTCTGCTCTGACTCTACTTCCTGTCTGCTGCCGTAACTTTACAGTAAACAGCAAAGCTGGAAAAAGCACGGCAGGGCGTCATACTCACACAAGCGGCCATTGCAACGGAGAAACACAGAACTGTAAGTGCTGTGCAGTTTACAGTTTACACGACTGAGATTAAATATCAGGCCTGCGTTTAAATGGAGAATTCCCTGCAGTCGTTTACGTATTTTAGGTTAGCGTAGTATCATATTCCAGACTGTGTCTGGTGTTCTGTGTCGTTCACGTCTATATTAGCGCATTCGTGGTTCAGGGCTGGTTTCACACTTCAACTAAGTTGCACTGCAACTCATGTCAGAACCAGCCTGAAAATGACTGGTATTACAGCGTCGTAATCGAATGAGAGTGAAAAAAGTAAAAAAACAAAATGTAAGGGTACATTTTACTGCTAGTCCCAACAGTAAATGTGGAACAGGAAAGTCTAAGTTTTAAGTATGTCGCAAAAATAAACCGCAATGACTCATCCATGTTTACATGTTTCTAAACACTAGCATTTTTCAACTGCAAGTAAAAATCAGAAGTAAAAATAAAAAAAAAAGCTACGAAAAGCTATGCATATTTAAATGAGATAGATACCTCCCTATTACTGTACGTATCACTGACACGTATTTAAATTGTATTTTTAGGTAGACCCTCTGTAATACCTTGGAGTAACAAGAAAATGCATAACTTCTGTAATAATATCCATGCGGGTGTTGTTTCAATACACAGGCCTTTGTGTTGTTCATCCAAACAAGAGGCGCGGACTGAACTGAAGCCAAGTTCAGCCCCTTTGGATATACAACCATTTTTAAGTAGCTTGTCTATCGAAGCTGAGGTCCCCGACCACCACCCGTGAAACAATACTAGGCTCCAAACAGAAATATTACAACATCTTATTTCTGTTTTTTTGTTTGTTTGTTTGTTTTTTCTTTTTTTTAATTTCTATGTTAGCATGCATGGTATTTTATTTTGAAAAACAACCACGTCTCATTTCCTCTAAATACAGTACAATGTAACAATAATAATAATAATAATAAAAGTGAATAATATTAGCAAATATTATAGTGGCATTATTTGTGAAATCACAAATGATGAATTATGAATATTAAATTAAGTTGATTGGGTTTTGTTATTTGAATGACACTGCACCACAGCCATGCTAGTTTTTATATTATTATTTATATAATTTATAAGTAACTACAACCACACAAACAAATGTTTTTTAAGTGGTCATTTATGAGCACAGACGGTTTTAATTATTAGGTAATTTTTACAAGATTTGAAAGGTCAGGCCTTTTATACATTATTTCGAAAACATTACAGTTTTTTTTTCTCTTTATTTTGACTTGATGGTTAAAAGGGAACCAGATTCAGGTCTTTTGTATGCAGGCTTTGCAATATAGCAAGATCAGCATGACTGTGTAAAATCTTCATCAAGATGATGTGACATTAATGACAGGGCAGTTGGTAGCTACATTACCCAGCCATTAACATTAACATTCGTTTTATACACAAAGTGTTTTATTATATATTTAAAATACATTTTTGAGCTGGCACATTTATGTAGGTCTTTGGATTCGCTGTTCGGTCAATACATTTCAGAGTTTTCATTAAGGATGGAGAGTTCTGATGTAGCAGCACTAGTAATTGTGTCAGGGGAATGTTGTAGTGGGGAGAAATGAGTCACTGAGCGGAACTGCCTGCTTTTTTTCTGTCCTAGCAGTGTGGCAGCTAAAATTTCTTCTCCACCCACTTTCCAACCCCAGAGTGTTATTGTCGGGAGCAGACTGCCAAGGGCTGGGCCAACGAAAGTTGAGAAAACCAGGGCAGATCCCTCATATACTGTATCCTGTTTACATTAAAGGTCTATTGCAGGGGGTGTGAAAGTCAAATTTAAAGTGGTCCAAAATTAATATTTATTGAAAAATTGATGGAAATTGTGGATGTTTTCCTTTTTTTTCATACGGAAACAATCTAGTTTTGCGTAAACATTGAATATGGAACAACCAAAGCTAAATATAATAAACACATGAAATCTTTTTTTTTCACAGAATCAACTCTAGTAAACATTTGATATGATCTCGCGGGCCAAAGCCTTTCCAGTTCCTTTTTAATGTAAATCTTTTTTTTTCACAGACCAACAATAAAAAAAACTCAAAATGCTATAACATAGCACATAATTAATACTACAAAACTTGCCACTATACAGAGGCCATATACTGGCAGGTCAACTCTAGTAAACATTTGATATGATCTCGCGGGCCAAATATAACTACAGTGTGTGCCAGATTTGGCCCCCGGGTCTGAGTTTGACACGTGTGGTCTAGTGTGTACAGTTATGAGACATTTGATGATAAAATATTTTATAGTTGATTTTATGACTCTAAGAAGCAGAAAGTGGGGAAATAAAGTCCATTTTACAAACCTAGTTATGGTAGTAGTTTGTAAATGTATCTTTGTTCTGGAAAATATGTTCAATTTTCTAAATTAAATTTTCTTTTGCACTACTCAGCTGTCGTAGGTCTGCCACTGACTACAATGACCCAGCAAGAGCAGCAGGAGTTTACGGCGAGCCTGGATGCAGCACTTTCTTGGATCGCCCGCATTCAAGAGAGGCTGCAAGCTAACGACAAGACGCAGGGAACTCGCGAAGCCTTGGAGGCCAGACTCAGAGAAATTAAATTTGAAATAAAACACACATCAGTGGTGTTTGTTTCTTATTATGTCTCTCTAGCCTTTCCAGTTCCTTTTTAATGTAAATCTTTTTTTTTCACAGACCAACAATAAAAAAAACTCAAAATGCTATAACATAGCACATAATTAATACTACAAAACTTGCCACTATACAGAGGCCATATACTGGCAGGTCAACTCTAGTAAACATTTGATATGATCTCGTGGGCCAAATATAACTACAGAGTGTGCCAGATTTGGCCCCCGGGTCTGAGACATGAGACATTTGATGATAAAATATTTTATAGTTGATTTTATGACTCTAAGAAGCAGAAAGTGGGGAAATAAAGTCCATTTTACAAACCTAGTTATGGTAGTAGTTTGTAAATGTATCTTTGTTCTGGAAAATATGTTCAATTTTCTAAATTAAATTTTCTTTTGCACTACTCAGCTGTCGTAGGTCTGCCACTGACTACAATGACCCAGCAAGAGCAGCAGGAGTTTACGGCGAGCCTGGATGCAGCACTCTCTTGGATCGCCAGCATTCAAGAGAGGCTGAAAGCTAACGACAAGACGCAGGGAACTCGCGATGCCTTGGAGGCCAGACTCAGAGAGACAGAGGTTTGACCTTTTACTTGCTATCTGCCCCTCCACTGTGGTATTTGTTCTCTCTACTTCCAAATATGGCAGTACAGGTCATTTGCAGAACCTCAGGGAGAAAGAGGTGACAAGGATATTATTTTCAATTTATTGTGTGTGGTAGCACTCAGTGCACCATGGAAGCCTCCATAACCTGCCTTTGGGATATACTGGTTTATAATAGTGTTTGTTCTCCCACAATGCACTTCAAATAAACAAAGCAAACATTTGACATTAACATTTGTTTTCCTTTTATATGTGTAGAAAATCCATCATTCGCAGCACGAGGGTGGTGTAAAGATGAACATGGTGGTGGTAGCAGCGGAGAAACTTCTGCAGAACGAGGATCAAGAGATCAAGAGAAATGAAACCAACAGCAAAATCAAAGATTTAAAAAGCCAGTGGTAAGGATCAAGAGATGAGAAATGAAACCAACAACAAAATCAAAGATTTAAAAAGCCAGTGGGAGGAGACCTGTACCTACATCGTCCACTGTCACAGGTGCCTTTTTAAATGCCACACAGATTTATGGTAGCATTCTATTTGTATTTTGTAATATCTGTACATTTTGTTACATTTTATAATATCATACGGTGGTGCACTGAAAAAGAAACAGCAAAACTAATTTTAATTGACAGGGTAAATATTTATTCAGCTCTATTTTATTTGGTGTGCAGGCATACGCAATAATAACAAATGCATGCTTTTACAGTCGCATCGAGTGGGTGTGGCTTCACTGGAGTGAGTACCTGAAGGCTTATGAAGAGTTTGAGCTGTGGTTGATGTGGCGGAAGCGTCATCTAGATGCTGAAGTTGAGCTGCAGCTGGGGTTGAAGGAGAAGCGTTGGCAGGTGGACCAGCAAAGGGTGATGGTCAATGATGTCCATGGGCAGGCTGTGCTGTTAGAGAGGCTGATAGACGAGGCTGCCACCCTGCACAACAGAACTCAGGATCCAAGCCTGGACCCAGAAGCCCTAGAGAGGCTGCAGGAGGCTTACACAGATGTCCGGGACAGAGCTGAGGTGTGTTTGGACTTTTCTGTTCTGTGTAACCCACTGGTTCTCAAACGTTTTTCGTCATTCCCTACTTTGATTTTCATGCCCCACCTTCCCTCCCATCACCCCAACAAAAATCTTGACAAATTACATTACAAATACACAGAGTAACATCATATTTTATAATAAATAAAAATCAATAACATCAAATAACACAAAGTTCAAAAGTAGAAAATGAACGTGCAGTTGTCCCATCATCACCTTAACCTTGAAAACTTGCTCCTGTTTGAATCAGAAACAGCTGAACAGTTTTTTGGTAAAAGTGTGCTTCGGTTTTGTCAGACATGTATCTGCTGAAATCTTAAAAATCATCCATCAGGGAATGTAATATTACTAAGTTACTTTCGAGTTTATAACCACACAGCCTTCAAAGTGTGTTACGTCAGTCTTCTTTGGAGAGAATATTTACTCACTGTGTGTTTTCCTGTAATTCTAGGAGCGGGTTCTGCTGCTTCAGAAGATTGCAGAGGATCACCAGACCTACCAAGACTGTGTTCAAAGGTTTCAACTCTGGCTGTTGTCAAAGACCAAGGAGCTCACAGACCTTATGGACACAGAGAACACACCTGAAGACAAGCTCAGATCCCTAAAAGTGAGACCTTTGATGGTTGAACCCATCATTTTTAACGTGTTATGGTGCTGTAAGAACTATAGTTTACATTTTCAAAAGTTCTGAAGTTATACAGTAACCTAGAAATAAATCAGGACATATTTCAAACTTGGGGAGGAGTTTTGGACTTTAGTCAGTTATTGTTATATTTTGTTAGTTACCATTACTTTATTCTGGTAACAAAACAATATTGTATTCAAAACCACATCACAAATTGCAATTGCAATCAAATCGTGGAACACAAATATTATGTTTTGTCAGCAACAAGTGTGTAGCTTCTCTTTGCTGACCTGAAGGTGGTGCAAGTACACAATGAAATACCATGTTCCATTACTCACATGGACCGGTGAGTTGTTTTATGGTACAGACCGTCCTCTCCTCAACTGGTTATAGTTCCTGCCACTGATGAAAAAGTGAATTAAATGTTCTTTTATAGCTTTGTTGGACATGCAAAAAAAACCCCTTTATATCACTATTATAATCTAAAAGCTAACAACCGACTTCGTGATACTGTATATTATGGGTCTATAAACTTATATAAAGGTATAGTTTTTGTTGTTTGTCTAACATTGTGTGGGAATTGTTGTAGCACATGTTGGTTATATGCAGTAACACTTGTCCACCTCACACCCTCTCTTCACTGCTTTAAGTTGAAATGCTGCAGGGCATCATTTTTTAATGACGTGTAGTCTGATGTTATTGTTCCTGAGCTGTGGCTCTAGTTTAGCCACGTGCTGTATTCCCAACAGCTCAAATGACATCTTTTGGTTACGTTTCATTAGCCATTCCATTAAGGAATCCACATTGTGTGGTGGTGCATGTTAAATGTCTATGAAATTTGATGGATTGATTAATTGAAGTCCTTTATTCGTCCCACACTGTGAGTCTTCACAACCCTCACAGGCTACCACAGGAGGCACCATGTGGTTTAGGCCTGTCCGATTTTATTTTTGACAATATCCGATATGCAGATAAATGAGCTGCAATGCTGCCATCTAGTGACCTGTGCTTTAATATACTGTTGTTTATCCTCAAAACTATTTTTAAGAGCGTGCATCATTTGGCCTAACAGAAGCATTGTGTTATCTGAGGAAAAACCGATAACGATTAGGCATTGTGTTATCTGAGGAAAAAACGATAACGATTATTACAGATATAACATAATGTGCTAATATCGGGCCGATAATATCGGTCGACTGACATCACTAACGTGTTTCCACTGGGGCTTGAACCCACGACCTTCTGCATGTAAGACAGATGTGTAAGGCAGGCATAACCATTTCACTATGTTTCAACCAACCCTGTTGTTGAAATTATAGGTGACAAAGTTTCATGTGATGCATCGCAAAAGGAATTATTTCTACCAGCCCTACAAATGCCAGTCTAAATGTGAAAATCAAATCTCCAACAGCAGGTCACGCTGTAGATGCAGTCTTCATTTGGCATGTTGCAGTGTAGTTGTAACATTATGTTTTGTTCCCACTGTGTGTCTCCCTGTCTCAGGTTCTGGACAACAGCGTGGCTGCCGAGGACAAGACCCTTCAACATCTGGAAGGTTTGGCCAAAGGAGTGATGAAGAACACCTGTCCAGCAGGGGCAGCGGTCGTGGCAGAGGAGGCTGAGGAGCTGCGAGCTGGTTGGCAGAGGCTTCGACAGGATCTACTTGAGGCTGAGGACGGCCTGCACTCCAGCCTGGACTCACACAAGCAGTACTTGGACAGAAGCCTAAAGTTAGAGCAGGACATCGGACGCCTCAGAGCGCTGCTGCACGAGCTGGACGGTGAATTGGATCAGGCTCATAGGACGGAAGACCCCACCGAGGACAAAATGGTGGGCCAGTGGAGGAAATACAAGGTAGGACAACATACCAGGTATAATTATTAAATATGGCTCGATACAACATGTATCGATACTGACACTGCAGAAGAGAATACTGATGAAATACAATACACGCTGGTATTCCATTCCATTTATCCATTGTCTGTATTATTTACCATATAGCTGTGTGGTGTGTATTTATCCTGTTGACTTACCTGATTGAATTCCCTGATTCTACTGCTCTCAGGGTGTGAAGAATACTTTGGCAGATGAAGAAATCCAAGTGGAACTCCTCAAGTCTCAGCTCAGAGAGCTTTTTAAATTCTCAGCAGATTCACGGCACCTCTCTGACGAGGTTCTGGCTGTTGTGAGGGAACATCAGAGGTAGACGTTAATGGAAGCCTACCATGTTAAAAACTTGGAGGAACATAGGTTGAACACAAACTTATTTACTGTTTGTGTGTGTGTGTGTGTGCGTGCATTGCAGTGTGAAATCCAGAGTGACCAGACTGTGTTCAGAGTCAGAATCAGGACTGAGGAACATTCTCCAGGATCCACTCCTGGTCTACACTCAGTGGAGTCACATGGTCTCTCAGGTGTTGGAGGCTTCTGCCAAGGATACTGACTACTCCCACATCACAATGTTGCTACACAATATCAAGGTAAAAACTGAATTTGTCCATACCATCGTTGCACGTGTAGTCTTTAAATAGCCAATGAAAACGTTGTGAGTTAAACTGAGCGATATCTTAAAAATGTTGTCTTATTCTAGTGTCTGCTGGAGAAAAGTGTTCAACTCCAAATGCGCCTGAGTGTCCTGCATATGAAGGGAGACCTGATGGATTCTGTGTTTGGCCCAGAAAAGGTCGATGGTCTGCAGAGCGAGTTGAGCGATGCCATTAAAAACAGAGAGTTGCTCCACAATCAGCTGCTGCAAAGGAAAAACACGCTCCAAGTACAGTAACATCTGATTAACTTCCATACTGAAGGCCTAAATAGAAGCATGGTTAACTGTCTGACAAATAAATAATGGAGAAGATTGTAAAAGATCCTCATCGTGTTTCATTAGCTCGGCTTTTAAATTTCAATTCATTGAATGAATGACAGGTGTTAATTTCAAGAACAAAGGATTTTGGTGAAACCTACAAGTCCCTTTGCTCCAAGCTGTCCCAACTCCGAAAGAGACTGATGGACGAAGATGGTCTGCAGCCCGATATCTTGGCCAAGAAAAGTCAGTCAGGCCAATTCAGAGTGAGTTCATTTTCTAAAAAATATCATGTAAATACTGAATAATATAGTGTGGCTCCAACTGGCACTCATCAGTTGCTTGCATTTAAATGTATGCATTTAGCAGACACTGGATTAACAATCAAACGACATAGAGAAACTCTTGAAAATAGACCAGTAGTTAGGAAAGTGGGGCTTCCAGAGGGTGAGAGTGCAGAAGTGGAGACGAGTGCAGAAGGAGAAGGGAAGTTCAGGACAGTGCAAGGAGTGGTTTTTGATGGAGATGTCATGATGAATGGTCAGTTTGGATGGAAAGACCAGTAGTTCAGTTTTTGGAAAGGTTGAGCTGGAGGTGAAGGCTTTTCTTTCTCTTTCATTTTTGTCCTCTGATTTATGGAAGCCGTTGTGTGTATTGTTTTTTCAAAGCTCTCTGCCTGTTGACACACAAGGTCATGTTTGTTCTCAGGCCATCCAGAAAGACCTGGAGGAGTGTGAATACCACATCACAGCACTGGAGACTCTGGTTTCCTCCAGTCAGAGCAACAGGACTCAGTTTGAGATGATACATGCTGACTGGAAACAGCTGTGCAAAGCAGTACAGGTCAGAATTCAGACTGGAAAAATTTCAATGAATTTTATATATATATAAAAAAAATTTTATTTTATTTTTTTTGCTAAATTAAATTTTGTTTTCAGGGCCTCTTTTGTGCTTTCTAAACATTTGAAAGTTATTCGTCAATTAATTTTATATATATATATAAATTTTTTTATTTATTTATTTTTGCTAAATTAAATTTTGTTTGCAGGGCCTCTTTGGTGCTTTCTAAACATTTGAAAGTTATTCTATGAGACATCAAAATATTCAATGTGAACTCTTTCCTGCATCAAATCCGCAACCAAATTATTTTCTTTTCTGCTTACTTGTCATATGTCAACCCCAATGAATTAATCAAACGAAGATATTTGATCTCACTAAAGTAGGCAACAGTCAACTTGACTTTTAGTCTGTTCAGAATAGTTGGCAAACTGACACGTTTTTTAATTTTTTTTTGTCAGCTAATCTTTAAATACGTTCAGCATAGTTGGCAAACTGACACAACGTTTTTTAATTTTTTTTTTTGTCAGCTAATCTTTAAATAGATTAGTTGATTACAACTAATCTCAACTAATCTACTAAAATTCTTCAATCTGGTCATTCACATTATTTAAGTAAAAAAAAAAAAAAATGGGCAGTAGAAAATGGTCAGATGGGTGAACAGTTGGATGGATGGATGGATGGATGGAGGTTCAGATGTTCCTGATTTTAATCCCTATTATTCTTTGTTTGTTTGTTTTTTTCACAGAAAAAGGTGCTTGAAAGTGATCACACCGTGGCAGATCATGAAGACTTCCATGACAACTGCCTGAACATGGAGAAATGGCTGAAGATCATGAAGCAAAAACTCCAGTCCTTTCAAATCTCCCCTGGAAAATGGAGTTTAGAAGGCCGCCAGCAGGAAGTTCAGGTCTGATTAGTGTGTGTGTGTTTTACAGTCAAAGAATTTTCATTTGGTTTACTTATCTTTATTATATCCACTATCTAACTAGTTGCAGTAATTTACAAGTAATTTTCAGATAAGGAAGCTTGTCAAAGAATGTTTAGTGAACTCTGCAGCATTTATAACCCGTGAGCAATAAGATATACAGTATGTCCACTTCCAGGGGAACCATAAAGAGTCGGATCAAGAGACTTTAAGCTCCAGCTTCAACAGCTCGCACTGTAGAGCCAATAATTCAGTCGGCCTTCCATTAGTCATTACTAACACACAGGCGACATTGATTCCGTCTCAGTGCTCAGCATGTGTTTGTGTGTTGGCATACGTTTGTATAGTTTTTTTTGACATTTTTCCATATCAATTTGATTTGTCACATACAGTACATCACATACAGAACATCTACCAGGTGTTATTCATCTTGTTTAGAATGCCGTACGCAGGAACCTAACTGTTGCTCCTCTCCACAGAGAGTGTTGGCAGAGTTTCCAGAGAAGGAGATTCAACTGCAGCAGATGGAGGCCCAGAGTCAGCAGGTTTTGGAGAAGACTTCAGAGGACGGACAGATCCACATAATCCGTGACATGAAGCGTATACAGGAATCCTGGACGGACGTCTACAACATAAGTCTCAGCCTTTACAAGTATGTAAACAATGTGACACTGAGAATGTTTTTGTTTGTTTTTTTGTATGTTATTGATGTAAGTGAGGCTGTCAGATCGTCATGTTGGAGTTGTTAAAAAAAAAGTTTACGGTGTGAAAATGTGTGTATTGCTTTTCAGAATAGACTAATTAGTTTTCTTTCTTTTTGTCCTTCAGGCTGTTGGACAGTTCTGTGGATCACACAGAGACAGGCTGGAGAAGAACTGGAGACATTTCTTTGGACAACACGTTTCTATTAACCGTTGGTTCAGGGGAGGATGAATGTGATACTTGGTCAGGGTCCTCCAGATTGGAAAGAAGACGAAAACAAGATCGTTCAGTAGAGTTACTAAGAGCCTCAACAAGCCCTGGAAATGAGGAGAGAGTGACGGAGCGGGGTGTGGTGACAAGGCAGAGCGTGTGGGAAGAGGGCCAACCCGAATGTTTTGTCATAGACGCCGGTAACAACGGTGCATCGAAGACGTTTGAGGACAATCGAAACGTTAAAAGAGATGAAGATTCTTTTTTCTGGGCGTTTGATACGACAGATTACCACAATGTTTCCAAAGATTCTAAAGTGTCCCACGTTAGTGGGCTGACGTCATCGGCAGTTGGAGAAGACGGTGTGGAGGCAGCAAAGGTCAGTGCCCTCTGGTGTTAACACTTTCTGCTCTTAGAGTAGAACCACAATCTGAGTGATAAACTGCAGAGTGCCATTCAGGGCTTGTTTTACTTGATTAATTACAGTCAGACTAATTACAGTCATTTGGGGTTCTACAGGAAAGTAAAGACCACTTCAAGTCCAGCAGAGATTTTGAGGCTTGGCTGAACAGAGAAAATGAACTTTTGTCTGGGGTCCTCAGCAACAAAGCAACAAAAGTTGGCACCAACGAACATAAGATCAAAGTGGACACACTGAATGTAAGTCTGCTTTTACATTTAAACATATGAATATATTGGTTGGCGGTAAGCCATTGGCAGTAAGCCATTGTGTTACTTAACACTAATAACAAGTGTTTACCTTTTGGCTTTAGCTTTGGAGAAAGTCTAAATGCATGATTTTATGATTTTTTTTAATATGCTAAATGAAAAGTAAAAGCAGCAGGAACCACAGTCTAAAAGATGTAAAACCCTCTGTCCTGATTCAGGCTTTGAGAGCAAGAGTTCCTTATGGTCAAGAGCAATTCCAGCTATTGCTTCAGGCCAGTGAGTGCAGAGGAGGAGAGTCGGGGTCAGCAGTGGATCTGGGTCTGGAGGATCTTCGCTACCGTTGGATGCTCTACAAGTCCAAACTGAAGGATGCGGGCGACATCAGAAGACGGAGGAGCGGTGCTAAGGTGATGAGTTTGTTTGGTCACTGCAGTTGAAGGTGTCAGCACAGCGTACATAGACATACTGTACCTGCTTATTTTGCATTGAATAGTAAGCTGTTCAAAACACACAAGTTCAAATATAATTTTTAAGGATGGCTCGATGCTACTTTTTCATGTCTGATACTGACACTTAGAGTCAGAGTATCGGCCGATACCGATATCAATCCGATACCTTTGTTTCTCCTGCAGCATGCAGTGGGCTGCTGTTACATTTGGCTTAGGCTTGAGCATTTGGGCTGAGGTATCAGACTGGATGGGCTGTAGTTGTTTATTTTTTTCAATGTTTGTCCTGAAATCTTGACCAAATAAGGACTGATCCTGAGTATTGGATCGATCCATCCCTAAATATTTTTTACCAGTTGAATTACAGCTCATCAGTCTATAAAACACATTAACATATCCTTTTACAAAGGTTAGTTCAATCACAAATGGCAGTAAATGAGCAGCACGCTCTGTCAGCATTACCTTTTGTTAGCATAAGGTGGCAGTCTAACAGTATTTACAAGCAGGGTGGCAACCTCAACATCATATACTGTATTTATTTATTTATAATCAACCCTGTCTTTGCAGAGAGTCCAAGTCAAACAAGAAGAGCTGACATCTGCAGCAAAAGTACAAAAGGTAAAGGAACACTGTTAAGAATGTCATCAAAAAGTTAGATGAGCTTTATGTTGATATTTATGTTTTTTAGATTTATGTTCTTGCTTCCTGTTTGTGTGCTCTGTCTACGTAAGGTTAGTTTTAGACATATATCTGTGCTGTTGCCTTACATCACTGAGACCATTGGTTCAAGGCCCGAGGTAACTCTTAGCTCTTGTGTGTAAAGTTTAATGTTTTCTCCAGGTATAACAGTTTTCCTCAAACCTGAGAAACTGAGCGATTTTGTGACAGTCAGTGTAAATGGTGACTCTCTATATCAGTGATTCCCAACCACTGTGCTGTGACAGATCATTAGGTGTGCCTTGGAAAATTATCCAATGTTCTCCCCAAACTATTATTTATTTACTGCAAATATGTTTTCTTTGTTCGTCAATGCGTGAGAGGCAAAGCAATACAATCCTATTCTGCTAGGTGGCAGCAGATGGCTATTAAAACAAAAAAAATAATCAGAGCTGTTGAAGATCTTTGTGAGTGTCTTTCTTCAATTCCTGCCAGTATATCAGCATTGTCTTCAGCTAAACAGGATGAGATTTTAGTCAGTTATGAGGTCATTTAAACTAGAAGATTATTATATTTCATTACATATACTTTTTGTGAGATTTCTGTTTGGTGGTGAGCTGTGGGTTTTTCCCTGATGATATATCTGTGCTGTGGCTCAAAAAAGCTTGGGAAACACTGCTGTATATGTTGCCCCACATTAGACTGGTTTGATCCCAGTGCCTTAACCTTACATCATCTTAAGTATTACATCAGATTTTACCATTGTAAACATTACACACAAAGAAGTACAGTAGTGTTAAAGCCTACAAATTACACAAACCCTCGTAAAGTTTTATTGTGTGTATTTTCTCCCTCGTCATCAAATTGAAGCTGTGTTTGCTCGGTCCTAAAAATACCTGCATACCTTTGACTTAAGTGTTTGTCATGTCTGGTTTAAAATTTAACTAAGGACATTTTGCTTCCTTTCCCTTTAATAATTAACTCTTGTATGCAGTGTAAGGCACTGTGGGCCTCGCTTCCTCCCTGTCTGTGTTCAGTGTGTACATGGAGGCATAAATAAACCATAAATGGTCTCAAAAATAGACCTGTGTGTAGATTTAGACTCAATGTACAGGTCCTTGCTCTTAGGTTAAGGTGATGGTTGAAACCTAAAAACAATTAACTATTTTAAGATATTTATTGCAGAAGCTTGGTAGTGCCATACATTGGATTGTGCTACATTCTTTTACTCTAATTTGTTTTGGGGTTTTTTTTGGCAACTTTTTTCCCTTTATTGTGTCTCCTAGACCTAAGTCGGACTCTTCTGATGTTTTTATGTCCTAGATTATGAAATAATTATAGGTTTAAACAATGAAGAAAGAGACGTCTGAGAGAGTTGAGCATCAGTGTATGTCAGAACAGTGAAGAGAGAAGTTTGAGAGAGTTGAGCATCAGTGTGAGTCAATGACTTGTGTGTGTGTGTGTGTGTGTGTGTGGGAAATCTCTTGGCTCCTGCTCATCTATTATGCAGGTTTAGGTTAATTGTTGACTCTACATTTACCATACGGAATTAATATGTGAATGATATGTAGTAATACATTCACAGAAGTTATGCAGTAAGATAATCTACTTCTATTAGAATCCTACAATAATCTATAAGTCGTCTTTTCAATTTTAGGATCGTGGACCTCACGTGGGGTCACCTGGAATTTGTTCGGTGTCACCTGAAATATCTAGCAATTGATTAGCAATAGTTACTGATAAAATGTATCATTAAAACAGCACACACAGTCACTAAGTGTACTAATCTGGCTACTCTGTATATGCAACAGTGTAACAAAGGTGATGAAAAAACATCTCTAAAATTGCCAGAAATTAGTAATGCCAAAACAGGGTCACAAGCCAAAAAAGGTTGGGAACCACTGTGATACGGTGTTATTTAAAATGTTAGTTTTTGTTTTGGTATTAGTCATTTTCATTTTCACTGTGACCACATGACCATGTGGTCATTCAGAGAGACTCTTACTTTTTATCATTGTGTTAATGTTTTATTTTTAAAGTCTAAGTGCATTTCTAGTCAGGCTTGATAATTGCCTATTCAGAAGGTAAAAGATGAATGTGGGAGGAAAACATGATTCACAGAACAACAAGTCTGATAGACATGAGAGTGTAGCTGACTGCAGTGAGTCACCATACTTTGGTCCGTGATGTTTCTGACTATGTGGGTGACTGCCATCAGCTGCTTTGATGTCGCGCACTCATGTCGGTCCCTGCACTGTTGCCAGGCTCTTATCAAAGAGGAAAATCAGAATGTTTGTTGTTCATATCATTCTCATCCCTTTTAAAAACCTAGAAAAATCAAACTGCACAACTGAAAGTATGGGGCTATCATGAGTGATGAGCCTCATGTTATAGTGATTTTTACCTTTTGTTAATTTTATGCAGGGGGTCCAAAGCTGAGGTGATTCTTTTTCTAATTGCTCATTTCCTGACTTCTTGTATTTGTATCTGGGTCTCCTGTCTCTCTGTTGCTTAGTGTTCCTACCCTGAATCCCAGAGCAATTATGTTAATTAATTAACATTTTTTATTCATTATTTTATCTACTGCAGCTTAATTCAGGGTAACAGGAAGCGAAAGCCAATCCCAACAGTCATTAGGCGAGAGTAGGGTCTGTCCTGTACAGTTCATTAACAACCATACCTATTCACACATTCTGTTGGTTCTGTTAAGAGTATCCAGTAATCTAGCTAATCTAATCTCCAATCTCCCTGTTCTTTGAATGTGGAAAGAAGCCAGGGTATCGGGGAAAAAAAAAAGCAAGCTTATACAGTGATCCTTGCAAACTCCAAGCAGAATAACAGTCAGTGCCTAAGAGCTAATCTCTGTCCTCTGTCTTGTCTCAGGGAACAGTGTAGATCAGCAGAGTCTGATCCAGACTGAGAACACGTTCCAGAAGAATTTAGTGCCAGACAGAACAGGGGCTTTCTGCAGGGATTTCATGGCCTAAAGATGAGTTGATCAACAGCAGTAAATCGTTGTGTCATCAGCATATTAGCACCTGTTACCTACAGTATACAGGGGGTTATCAGTTAACAACATCCTCGCCATCTGATTTATGAAGAAGCTCTTGTTATATCATTCTGATATATGGCTTTAAAACTCACCAACTGGTTCACACAGGAGCTGGTTGGTGAGAGGCGAATACATTGTAAATGCATTCACTGGATGTACACCATTCATTGGATTGTGTTACGTTCACTTTCTTTTGTTTGTGTTGTTTTTTGGGAACTTTTTGCCCTTCATTCTGACTCCCAGGTGTCAGTCAGACTCTTCTGATGTTATGTCCTGGACTATGATGTAACCACTGTGTTAGTGTAAGTCAGTGACTTTTATGTACAGTATGTGAGTTCCAACTTCTGCACTCTGTTGTGAAAATTAACAATTTTAGAAAACAGAACTAGTTGACGTTGTATTACATCAAACAACACTGTCTGATCTGTCATGTTGCTGATCTTAAAGTTGCATCTACCTTGTGCAGCTGAGGTCTGTTTTTTGCATTTGTAATCCAAATCATTCTGAAACATTTCCATTAAGAGACACACTGTACTAATCCAACCAGCAACCTAACTGTCCTCTGCTCTGTAGAGTAAAAATTGTGTATTTATAACTTATACAGTACAATTACGTGTTACAGAAACCAGGGCTGCTGCAGCGCGTGTGTCGTCTGGCGTTGCCTCTGTGGCTCCTCCTCCTGGCCCTGCTACTGCTGCTGTTTCTGCTGCCACTCATGGACCAGAGTCACAGCTGCTCCTTCTCCAACAATTTTGCTCGGTCCTTCAACATCATGCTGCGCTACGACAGCCCTCCACCCACGTAGGACCAGAATGAGTACCAGTGGCCAAAGTGTCCTATTATACAGTAGTACTTGACATGGCGCCTTCAGCCATCATACCATAACAGACCTTTTATGTTATTACATTAATTAAAAGATCATTTTTTTCCAAAAGGAAAAAACAACTTATATCCATTTGAATTCTGCTTTGATGACTGACTATACAGTTACTGTACTCCCTTCTATATATGTTCTAGCTTTGCCAAATATGTCAAGACAGTTATGCTGCATATTCTTTTTTACTGTATGTATATACTGTAGTTTCTGCTTGGATATGATCAGCAAACTTTAACAACAATGTTTACTGACTTCTTTTTTTTATTATTATTTTTACTTCCTATGGCTTTGTCCACAAACTACAGCTGGTTACTGTATAGTGAATTCGCACATGCCTTTCAAGTATTGGGTCTACCTCAACAGAGCATTTACAAGCATTGGTTTATCAAAGGTTTTCTTCAGTTAAACTGATTTCCAACTTAAAAAAACAAAAAATATGGATTAGATTGAAACTGTTAGCAGGGCTAACTTAGCCTATTCTGAAGATTAGTAGACTAGTACGTACACACAACAACCTACAAGTGATTAAATAGTTGTATAAATCCAATGCCAGGGAACTGCTAACATGATGTGTTTGTCAAGATGTGCATCCAGTAGGAAATCACTCATCAGTTCTTACTTCCGTTCAAAAACCTTTGAAACCATATTTACAGGATTAGATTTACATGAAACCATGGCAAGCTCTAAAAGAAACATGCTCTAAATCAGGGGTGTCAAACTCATTTTCAGGAAGGGGGGCGGGGCAACATTGACAATACAGTTCCTCTTGAAGGGCCGGTTGTAAATGGAAGACTGCATAGATGTAACTACTCTATAACGTATTAATAAATGTTTCTGCAATCGATTGTTATTTATTCAAGTTACTAATATTGTCAATTGCTCCGTGTAATAAAACAAACCAACTTTTAATCTATCAGGTCACAAACCTACAGCATGGACTTTATTATAAGGCATTTAAACTCTATATAAGTTTCCACAGGCCACACAGTGTGACCTGACGGGCCATATTTGGCCCACGGACCTTGAGTTTGGCACATGTGCCCTAAATGAAACTGCTCAAATGCATTTACATTTTTAATTGTGTTGGTAAAAATTGTACACTAAATAAAATGAATAGAAATGATTTCAATTGTTGTGGGAATAGAAGAGTAATAATACTCTTATAAAACAATATATGTATATTATATATGTAATATATATACACATGAAAAACTGGGACAGACTTCCCCCAAGAATTAATGAATTGATCAATTGTAATATATATAGATAAACAATGTATCTGTTACCCCATAATCAAACAAGAAAAACACCATGTCATTGTTCTGGTTGCAAAAACCTTTTAAGCCTATAATATAGTGTGATGTCGTTCTCTCACGACAGAGCTTCTCATGAGTCATGTGACCTAACACTGTCCATTGCTCCAGCTGGTGTGTCGGTTTGACGCCACCACCTGACTTACAAAACTCTGCTGTGATCTCAGTGTGATTTCTTTCTTGCTGAACTGAAAGAGCAACTCTTAAAACACACGTTTATTTTTCCATTTTTTCATTCAGTTGCGATTGGAGCAGTAACCTAATATCTATAAGACTTTTTGTGACGCTCAGCTACTGTTTACAAAAGGAAGCCTCAATGTTACAGAGATAGTGTAGTGGTTAGGACACCTGCATTGCAAACAGAGAGTCCTAGGGTTGAATCCCAGAGAAACCACATGATTGGCACCTCCAGGCTCTTAACAGAAGAATTTCCACAGTGTGGAAGTTCTAAATATTATTATTATTATTATTATTAAGTCAGAGAGACTAGATGAGAAGACTATGAGACTGGTATCATACACAGTAATGACACGTAGCTATTTTGCATTCAGTAAAATGGACTATTCAAATATTACACAGCCCAGACAGGATCTGCTGCAGATCTTCTTCCTGTTAAAGCGTTCAGGGGTTTTTCCTCTACATTGTTTGCTCAGTGTGTGATTTACTTTGATTTTAAACAACATCTGTAAAATCTGGGCTTTAGATTTCTGAATCTAATGTATCTAATATACACTTCTAATTATACACTACAAATTTGTACTGTTTGAAAATGTACAATTGATTTGCAAAGGTGGAGATTCTTTGGAAAAACTCCACCCATGCATATAACATCATGGCAGAAGTTTGTGCTAAGCAGCTTTAGTCGACTGTGTGGCGTGGCTGTAGGACATGCGCTCACATGTCAGTGTTGGCCATCGCAATTGTTTGTTATTGTCTGTGATCAAGCAGTGGCAGAGATGGCAGACAGTTTGACACTTCTGTGTCAGAGAGAAACTGCCAAACCAGAAATTCAGTTTCGATGTGCAGCATCATGGTGGTCACTGTCAAAGTCTACAGGGGCCTGGATGTCTTCTGGGAAGACCTGGTGCTTGTGCACCTGTTATCCTGCTGCTCTGCTTTGTAGAGCAGCTTGCTACTGCATGTTCGTTAATAATTTTCCTATGCTGTTAAGAAAGACATTCTAAAAGTTCATGTTTCTTCACATATTTTGTGTCTGTGGGTCTTCAAAGGGGGTCCCTGGCTAGAAGCTAATACTGGTCGGGAGGCCTTAGCATGGAAAAGTTTGGGAACCTCTGTTGTAGATTATAGTCCCTGATATCTACCACTTTTGTCTTTCAAAACATTTCAGAATGATGGTTCTGCAATAACAGTAATCCACTTAAAATTCACAGTTTCAAAGTCATGACTCCACTTTAACACATCCTGGTCGTTACAGCAGTTGAATGTTTCTTGATATTCATATACATTTTATTTTTATTGCACAGAGACAAACTGTCAATGTTTCATCAGATTTACCCCTGTTAGTATTTAGTCATTAAATAACTAAGTTTCATTGTCATCATTAAATCTCGGGCATCTTTATCAAAGCTGATCTCCTGATTTTGTTGCTCTGTGTTGCTTTGTTTCCCCATGGCGATACAATGAATTCTTTTTCAGTGGGAGGAAAGCTTCCTGGCATTGTTACATCACACATGCCTCTGATTTGGTGCGTGGGGGCTCGGATACACCGACGCTGCCCTTTAAGAGGATGATAACAGCCACCTACCTGCTGCACTGGGTCTTCAATGGACACACAGCAGTGGAGAGAAAAACATCCATGGGATACTAAGTCATCTTGGGCAGATACGTACCCAGAGAGTGCAGCCATCTGGTCGGCGGAGAGACGTGTTGGAGAAGAGAGGTCAGAGAGAATCATCCTCTTTCAGAATAGTTATTATGTTGATATGATTTATTTTTTAAATGATGACATGAATAATAACAGCAATATGTAATGTTGACGTAGAAACATAGAGAAAAGAAGTCACAGGGATAGTTCAGGTGATCCAATCAAAAACTAACAGAGGGGTCCTCGGTTTATGACGTCCTTGAACCTCAGTGTTTGTGGTCATGTTGACATCTCCCATGAATCTATCATGAGTCTTGTTGGATCATTCCGACGTACATTGTTGAAACAAATTTCGCACGATAGCTAGTCATCGAGCAGAGTGGACGAATACGTCGTTACAGGCCACTATACACTGAAGACGACTTAGTTTACAATCGCAGGTTGTATTTTGTTTTACATTGCATTGTGCTAAATTCACTTTGTTTCATTTGTGTTGTTGTGAGACTGTTAGTGATCATTTTGTGTATAATATAATATAATATAATATAATATAATATAATATAATATAATATAATATAATATAATATAATATAATATAATATAATATAATATAATATAATATAATATAATATAATATAATATAATATAATATAATATAATTTAATATGCCACTCAACAAAATATAGATAAAATGTAACTGTAGACATTTTATAAGTGGGTTTGTTATGCTAAACTGGAAGTAAAACACTTTGTCTCATTTTGACATTACATTTTTATTAGATGAAAACACAATTAAAGAACATCTTCCCAACTGGTTTGATTTTGTAAGAAGAGACGAAAGAGATAAATGAACAACAAGTCTGTTTTGCTTTGTGAGATCAAAGGTGTCATTAACTGACTTTGTTGTTTGAAAGCCTGTGTTTGGAGTTCATTTTGGTCAACAAACTGTTCATGTAGAGTCGGAGTGGCAGACAAGAAAAGTCTGTCTTCCAAAGAGCTAAGAAAAAGGTGAGTTGGTGAGAGAGAGACGTCCTTCTCCAGAGAGGTACGTTTATGAAGTTTTCAAGAACTCTACGTCCCAGTCCAGCTGCCATCACCTCTTGAGGTTATTATATACAACTATTCCATATACAACTATTTAAACATCTAATTACTGACCAGTTCCACCAAATGTTATAGCATTGTCAGGTTGCAGATTTTCAAAAACATCATGCACATATCGGAATCGTACATGGAAACGTTAGACTCCAGAGAACAGGTGCAGAAAGCGCTTTTATTGTGACTGTATGCTCAGTGTTTGTGAGGACAGACACGGTCAGGGACGAGACTTTAGTCAAAACACAGAGTGTCTCTCAGGAGACTGGCCAGTCACATGACCCTAAACACAAAACCGGCACAGAAGCAAAACCCTGGAGTCGGATACGCAGCGTACACTGACGGAGCCGGTACGGTAATGTTTACAAGGAAGAAGCTGGGGTAACTATGTAATCACAAGGACGGGAACCTCAAGAGGGCAGGTGTAGGCAAGCACAGGGGCGTGGACAGAGGAGGGCAAGGAGAGAAGGACCTGAGGGTGAAAACGTTGAATAAAATTAGAGAGTAAAATAGGATGATACAAATGATACAAAAGGGAACGGATGTAAAGAAATGTGACTGGCCTTTTACAGCACTTCGGCAGTAGATAATTAGTGAACTAAAGACTTTTTTAAGACACAAAAACTTAATTTAATCCGCAACCCTTACCGCACTAAGAAGAGAAGAAAAAGCCTGTGTGTATACAGATATACGACGGAGAGGGAGAGAGAGAATGAGAGGCAGGGAGGGAGGGATGCAGTGGGCGGGGACAGTATCTCAGAGTGGGCGGTGTGATGATTTTTTTTTTCGTTTCTTCCAACCTCCAGGTGCTGTAGTTCTCTTCCCTCTATCTCTTCCAGCTTTTCACTCTTTTCCACGGCTCTCTTATTTTACACAGGACAAGAGTGCTGTGACTGTAGAAACCCGCAGTCACTGTGCGCACGCACGTTGTGCACACACGTACGGAACCAAACAGTCCCGCTCTCAGCCTAGTTAGCCGGCTTCCATGGACCCCGCTGGACCAACCGGACAGCTAGAATAGAAGACAGTGTGGTGGTGGTTGCTGCAGAGGACGAAGACTTCCGTGGACCGTCATCATCATCATCATCATCAGTAGCAGCAGCAGCAGAACCCTCCGCAAGTGATGGCCGGACACGAGTGGCAAGACTGGTTCGAGCGAGAGGAGTTTATAGCCCAAATCAGCGACATCCGAGTGCAGAATCTCCAAGGTAGGAGGATTCCGTCCACGGGACTCAGCCATGCATGTACCTCTACCTCATGAACTGTTTGTCTCTTGGCGGGCGTGCATGTGTGTGGGTGGGTGTTTATGTGCGCGCGCGTTTAACTGAAGGAACCTTTTAACTGTTATATTTATAGACTGCTGCTAACTTTTCACCCGTTACTATAGAGAAATACAAAGAGCTACGGTGGCCGGTTGGTGTGAAGACGTTTGGAAGTTATAACTCGATTAGTACAAAATTACAAAAACAAGGTAGAATATAGTTAACAGCCTTAGAAATAGTTAAATAATTAATTTGCAAAGTTTTTTTTAACTATCTTTTTGTTGATACAATGAAATTACTTGGCTCCCTGCAAGGGTTTTTTCTTTCAAAATTGTCAATTAGCCTTTCCCCCCACGGCATACTTTGTTTTGTGCATGTACAGCACATCTAGTTCGAGTCATGTTTCGCTGTTTCCCCCCACGGCATACTTTGTTTTTCATCTAGTTCGAGTCATGTTTCGCTGTTTTTGCAAACTTTGAATTTAGCAAATAAACAAAACAATGATGTTGGCAAACAACAATGAAGTCAGCAAAAAAATATATGAAGAGTCAAGTTTTATCCAAAATAAAACATAGTTAATAATAATAATAACATAGAGATAAATATAAAAGGTAGTAAAATTTATTATAATCAGTTTATTTAGATCAAAATCTATTTTCTTACACTCAATATCAACACACTCTCTCTCTCTCCCACTCACTCAACTGACAGGCACGTCAGGAGTAAAACATGGTCGCCAGAACATGACATAACAACATGACGCCGCTAATTGAAGCACTAACCCAGCAGACGTTATCGTGTAGTACAGATAGATATCGTACAGCTTTCTATGCTCATCGTAAAGTACTCCCAAACTAACCAAATGTTACTTCCAAGTGTGTTTGTCTTTGAGAGCTTCTTCTTCTCCTGACGTCAGTGTTGATGTGCAATATCGCATTGAACTTAAGTTTGTGAATGCATTTGTATCAGTCTTCAGTTCTGGTACTGTTTTATTACCACATTCTGTATCCAGTAGAAAAGAAACAGACTTTGGTTAATATTTAGAAAAAAGGTCACCTGTGTGTATTTCATGACAACATTTAAGTCCTTAAAGAGAAGTCTATGCTGGAACACAGTACTTTTACACTTAGGTATCTAATGGTTACCATAGTGCCTTTGTTTACACTACATTAGCATCTATTTGTATTTATTTGTTTGTGGTTATTGTAGTGTACTGCTTTTGTAGTGTGTGTGTGTGTGTGTGTGTGTGTGAAAGATCAGGAAACTTGACTTATTGGCTGCACGAAATGCCATTCAAACCACTAGAAGTTTTGTAAAGACATTAGTCCGTCAGACTTCTTTACCAACACGCTAACAAGGTTGTCTCTCATATCCTATTACCCAGTTCCCAATCACTTACAGTAATTAGTAAAATACCTCATTAAGACTTGATATTACTATGTATCCCATCATAAGACTAAATTGTGACCTGGACCTGTCTATTTTCCACAAGCAATTGCATTTGTATTCATCCATTCCTTACTCAAATAAACGCTAACATCATCCTGTTTCACGAGACCAAAAGAACATTTTAAAAGCATCGCAAACAATGTAATTGTACAACACCCTCACGGGTGGGATGGGTAGTTCATTTTTACACAGCCGTACTCAGCTAATGTCTTAATGTACAGGTATATTTGTCATACTTGCCATTTTGTTTTGTCTGGTCTAACTGTATTAGCAGTTTTTTTCTTCGCTTCTCTTCTGTTCATTCTTGTGTTCTTTAACCTTTGGGTCGCCTGGAATGTCTAGTAATAGATTAAAAAATAAGGATAATAATAATAATATTTTGTCAACTAATTATTATTCTTTTTAAAATTATGGCTGAACAACTGCATTCTTTCACTTTCATGAATATAAATGGAGTCCAAATAAAATGCACGTATAAAAAGTTATGCACAAGTGACAGCTACTAAAATGTGTCAGAAATGTGTGATGTCAAAATGGTACACTACATTAGCATCTATTTGTATTTATTTGTTTGTGGTTATTGTAGTGTACTGCTTTTGTAGTGTGTGTGTGTGTGTGTGTGTGTGAAAGATCAGGAAACTTGACTTATTGGCTGCACGAAATGCCATTCAAACCACTAGAAGTTTTGTAAAGACATTAGTCCGTCAGACTTCTTTACCAACACGCTAACAAGGTTGTCTCTCATATCCTATTACCCAGTTCCCAATCACTTACAGTAATTAGTAAAATACCTCATTAAGACTTGATATTACTATGTATCCCATCATAAGACTAAATTGTGACCTGGACCTGTCTATTTTCCACAAGCAATTGCATTTGTATTCATCCATTCCTTACTCAAATAAACGCTAACATCATCCTGTTTCACGAGACCAAAAGAACATTTTAAAAGCATCGCAAACAATGTAATTGTACAACACCCTCACGGGTGGGATGGGTAGTTCATTTTTACACAGCCGTACTCAGCTAATGTACAGGTCTATTTGTCATATTTCTTGCCATTTTGTTTTGTCTGGTCTAACTGTATTAGCAGTTTTTTTCTTCGCTTCTCTTCTGTTCATTCTTGTGTTCTTTGACCTTTGGGTCGCCTGGAATGTCTAGTAATAGATTAAAAAATAAGGATAATAATAATAATATTTTGTCAACTAATTATTATTCTTTTTAAAATTATGGCTGAACAACTGCATTCTTTCACTTTCATGAATATAAATGGAGTCCAAATAAAATGCACGTATAAAAAGTTATGCACAAGTGACAGCTACTAAAATGTGTCCGAAATGTGTGATGTCAAAATGGGGTCACAAGCCAAAAGGGAACCATGTTCAGGTATTGCTATCAAGGGCAAGATAGACAAAATGTACTAACTTTTGAGCCTTCCGGTGAAAGATTTTACAGCAAAATTGTAGTTTCTGTGAAGCAAAAACATTTCACACTGAATCTTCGCCGTTCATCTTCTCAGTTTGTTATTTTTCTCTCTTGTTGTGATGCCTCCTTTTTTCTGCCAGAGAGTCTGATGACTAAAATTCATGGATCAATGCCTCAGCGCCTCCCGCATACCAACCCAAGCCCACTCTTGTTGTCCAGGGCAATTAGGTTCAAGACACATTTCTGTGCTTTTGCTGGAGATGCATGTGTTGACCAATGAGAAGCTCAAGAATCACAGTTTTATCCCATCCTTCCATGGTTTCTTGCTGTAGACTGCAGAGCAGTCTGTTTTCCCTCCACTGGTCTTTATGAGGGACATGATTCCATTTGAGGAGGAAGCTATAAGTATTACTGTACTGCAGCAGCTACCAGTCTAAACACTGTTGATGTGTGTGTAGAATTAGCCTTGTAGCCTCCAGTGAGCCATATTGAACATAAAAATGAATAACAACTGCTTTTGCTGCCATGGTAACTCCCTCACATCTCCCACTCTCTACACAGTCGCCAAGTCCCATGTCTTCGTATTGCAGTTTGGTGCGGCAGATTTAGAAGGAACCAGTAAAACGTACAGATCCTAGTCGCTTTTATTTTTCCTTTTTCCACTGCTTCAAACTTGAGTCCGTCAAGTCAGTAAAACTTCTTTTGTGAATTGGGCTATAAATATAAAGTTGCTAAAATTCAAGCTAATGCCTAGTCTTCCCTTCTAGCCCTCAGAAATAATTTCTTTGATCATCCAAATGTATTGAGAACAGCTCCTCCTACTGTACACCAGACGGAATTTACCCCCACATAGTTGCTTCATGCTAGCGGCTAACTGCTAACGTCTGACATGCTGATGACTGAGCGTCACTGAGTGAATGTTATCACCCTCCATTTGACTCTTTTCCTGTGTCACTAGCTCTGCCTCTCTCCCACATCAGTAAACTTTCTTAACTTCTTCATACTACCACTAGTAGGCAAACACAACGACCGTGCCGTCATGTGAGTGGTGTTTGTGTTGTTGACTCATGTTCTGACCCCATGATTTTAGTTCAGGAGACTAAAATGTAAAAAAATGGCCTTTTTGTGATTTGCTCTTGGAGAATATATTGAACGGTTAGTTGACCTTTTTAAAAATGTAAAGGTGAAGAAAGTCAGACTAACAAACACAGACTGAAAAACCTCCAGGACGACATGTACAAACATGGAACATTTCAAATGCTTGTCCTATAATTATGTATTAATTAACCTCTTTCTGTTCTCATCCCTTTTAAAACAGGGAATTGTTTGCTCGCAGGATCATCATTTTTCTTTCTTTGTTTGTTTTCCAGTTGAAAGAGAGGAGGTTCAGAAGAGGACCTTCACCAGATGGATGAATCTACATTTAGAAAAGGTTTGTTGATGGTACTGTAGAATGGCTGGGAGAAAGACAGAGTTTTCATTGTTTTTCCCATAGTTTTTTAATTAGATCTTTTTAAGTCTTAAATTCTCCTGTTTAGTTCTTCTTTTGCCGTAATCCCCCCCCCTCCCCCCCCCCATTTGGTTCCTTTATCTCACTCGAAGCACTTAAAATGAGAAAAAGGAGCCAAAAGAAACAAACAAACAAAAAAGACTGTGGAGAAACAGATTAGAGTTGGAAAATGATTAGAACGATTTCAGATTCTGCACTGGAATAGCTATAAATAACATCTGCCAATGTTGAACCAAGTGACATGCAGTACAGTGAAGTACAGGAGGCCCTCAACAGTTTCATTCCTATGCTGTGAAGTAATGCGACTTTGTAAGTCTGAACTCACATACTGCACATTAGTACCTGTGTCACTCAGCTACACTAACACAGTGGTGACATCATAATGTAGGACATAAAAACATCAGAAGATTCAGGAACCTGGGAGCCATAATGAAGGGCAAAAAGTTCCCGAAAAACAACATCAATGTGACGTACAACTGACAAATGTAAACTCCACTCGCCAACTCGTCCCTGTGTAAATGAGTTGGCGAGTTTTAATGATGGAACAAGACTTTCTTAATAAATGTATGGGAGATGCTGTAGGTGTTTACTACCACCCTTATTTTTGCAGTCTGTGATTGAGTATATCAGCCCACATTAGGGATTTTAGCACTTAAAAACAAATTCTCGAATTCTCAGCTTTGTTTCCAATTAGTAGTGGCATGTAGTCCTGAGCAGTGCTAATCAGAATAGGCCTTACTTACTGCTCTTACTAGATCTTACCTACCGCCAGTTTCTACTGAAGTTCTGTCTGACGACTTGATGGAGTCTACCTTCTAGGAATGGGCTCCTTAGTAACCATAAATATTAGCTAACTCCCGTAGGCTGGAATGGCTCTGTCTGCAGTGAGTGACCTGCTGTATTTGATGTAAACTTGTCTTGTACTCCTGAGCCACTGTTTTGTTTCGACACTCTTCAAAAAGCGGGTGAGTCACAGGGTGCATTCAGAGTCTGATCAAGTCTGTTGTTTTTCTCTGACACAATAGGCCTCTCTTCTCTCACTCTCCGTTTGGCCATGTGTCAAATCTCTTAACACAATTGTACACTTGTCCTCTGTCATCTTATTTTAACCGACAACCCTTTAGCCACTCTTCACCTTTTTACATTATTTACCCATTTTCTGTCAGTAACAAACCTCTCTCTATGTATATTTTTTTCTCCATAGTTTAAGTATCTTTTCTTATAAATATGTCTTAGTTTTTGGTTGTGTTTCTATATGGTGTCTAAACAAGTATAAGGACAAGGATTTATAAAAAAAATGGAAAAAAAGTTCAGCCGCTTAACGGTTCACGAAAGCCACAAAAAGTTCACTCTGTACCATGATATTGACGTATCCTCTTGATATGGAGGGTTTCTTGACTTCATTCTGTTGATATGGCACAACACAGTTTGATGCGACGTAAGCATCAAACGCCGTAACGCCGATGGACTTACTATACATATTGAACTTTAGTTGTATTCCATTCGTGACAAACAAATCCAATTCTGTTATTTTCCTTCAGTGCATCAGGGAACATCTGTACGGTTGGTGGTTTTTCCAGTTTTTGTTTTGCCTTCTGTGACATAATCAGATTTACTGTATTTACTTGTTTCATCCCTAGTGTGACCCTCCCATCAAGGTCCATGACCTTTTTAAAGACATTCAGGACGGGCATATTCTCATGGCACTATTGGAGGAGCTCTCAGGCTGCAAGCTGGTCAGTTTGTCAGAGTGAAGCCAGGCATACAATGAAGAACTTTGTACATGTATAATTGTTTGTTTTTACAATGTTTACAGCTGCATGGATTTAAGAAGTCCTCCCATCGTATTTTCAGACTCAACAATATCGCTAAGGTCCTCTCTTTCCTCGAGGAAAGAAATGTGAGTGCCGCAGTGAATCTGCTGTTTCTGTCTGGAAGAATCACTGACCCGCTTTATTAACCTTCATTGTCCTAATTGCGTTGGTCCCCAGGTGAAACTGGTCAGCATTGATGCAGCGGATGTGGCTGATGGAAACCCCTCCATCATCCTGGGCCTCATCTGGAATATTATCCTATTCTTCCAGGTAATGTGATTGTCTGCCATGTTATTTGATCAACTGCTCTGTTGCCCAATCATCATGTCTCCTTGATAGATACTGTGACCTGTTTAATTCAACTGAGTCACTGGATTAGTCACAGTTCTTCAGAAGAGGAAATCTTTTAGTATCACTTTCTTTATCCCTACTGCTCTGCTGTTTACACTCAGTGCAGTGATGAACTCTGTTCCCTGTACGACAGCCATGTTCTTGGTTTAAATTCTTAGGATGCTTTGCTTTGTTTTGCATGTCTGTTTTTTTTTTTTTGTTTTTTTTTAAACATATTTTCACTACAAACATGCCACAGAGAGAACTTGTGATGAACAGTGCGTGTCCAGTGAAAAACACAGACAATGACTGGCGACTTGGTTTGTCCTTGTGTAAATGCTCCTTCATTGCAGCGTAACATTACTGCCTATTTTATTACATGATTATGACCATTGGTTAACTAGATGATAGAATATCAGCGTTAGCCAATCAGAGGTTAGAAAAACGACTTCCCTTGCAGGGGGTGAAAACTGTTGCCTTTTTTGCCGCATTTTTTCACTGTCCAGGTATGTATTTGAGTGCAAGGAGTTAGTAGTTCACAAAACTGATAACCACTGTATAGATTAAAGTGGTACTACAGTAGCTTACGTCAGTAAGATTTCAGCATACTGCAGCTTTACTGCACGGTACACTATTATGCTCATGTTGCCTCTCTTCCTCTAAGATGAGGGTTCCATTTTTATATAAAAATCTATTTAAAAAATCTCCATGCAGCCAAAATGTTCAAGATAGCCCTGCAGTAATGGTTTTCATTTTTTCTCTGTTTTTGGAACAGTAGTACAAGGAAAGGAAGGAATTAAAAAGCAAACACTGCAAAAAGTAAAAGTAAAGAACCGTAGCGGTTTATTTTAGCAGCATTTTAATAATTTATATCCAAGCCTCCACAGTTTGTGGGGACACCAGTTCAGAGATGGCACACAGTCTGTGTACTTCCAGCATTTTCTAGGTCATTTGTACTCAAATTCCAAAAGGTTTATCTAAATAAAAACACACTGTTGTCCTCAGTGGATTGACATTAGAAGAAGAAACAGTATATGGACATATGTACTGACTACAGGAAATGGCTATTTGTTAATACAATCCAAGTCATTTTAATAGCTTTCATTTTTCCCCTATAAACCAGGCAAGTTATTCATATGTGGGAGAAATAATTAAATGTGATTTGGACATGCACTGGAAGTTTATTATCTAAACTCATATCCTGTGTGACTCCAGATTAAAGAGCTGACTGGGAACATTCGCAGCCAGTTTCCCTCCTCCTCCAGTCTGTCCTCCATCCCGACCAGCTCAGATTCTGACACATCCTTTGGCAGCGCTCCATCAGAACAGAGGCAGACGGCGTCCATGGCCATGCGAGAAAATAACAAGGCCATTAAGAAACTGCTACAGTGGGTGCAGAAACGAACACGCAAGTGAGTGTGGGTTTCCGCCATTTTGAGAGTTAGAATTCTCTCATACATGTACATGGTTTCTATGGTAGTGATGGTGCAAAACCTACTACAGATACTAGGACGAGACGTTCTTGTCTGTTAAGCTGATTGTAGTTGACTGTTTTTTAACAATTGTTGAATTTTGCTGCAAAGGTATGGTGTCGCTGTTCAAGACTTTGGAAAAAGTTGGACAAGTGGTTTGGCCTTCCTGGCCATCATCAAATCCATTGACTCCACCCTGATAGACATGAGGAAAGCCCTGCTGAGAAATGCCAAGGAAAATGTGGAAGATGCCTTCAGGATAGCTCACTACAGCCTTGGGATCCCACGTCTCCTGGAGCCAGATGGTAACAAAAAAAACAAACAAAATTTGATTTGGACACTTTCTCTCTGACTGTCAGTGACTTGGACCACCTTATGTACATCAGTGTGCATCAGAGTTTCTGACCAATAGGGGATTTGGACACTTTCTCTCTGACTGTCAGCATTGTTGCTGTATGAACTGGTTCAGTCAATAGAGTGAATACTGTTAATGTCTAAAACAACCTCTAAGTCTTCAATAGGTTTAAGTATCTGTAGACATTCACTAATTTGCCTAAACCCAGGGACACCAGGGACGCCTCAGCCAATGGCATGCATGAGGAGAAAAGAAGGTGTTGGACATCACCTGTAATTGAAATAGAAGACTCCTCTAAACCCTTAAGACTTAAGACAGTTTCAGAATTTAGAAAATGTAAAAAATATTAAAAAAAAGAATATTTTCTTATTTCCTGAGGAGCTTCTTACAAAACTAAAACCATTAAAAAGAACATAAAAAACACAGTAGATGTAAAATTAGGTGATGGAGAACAAGACTTTCCTGCTCTCCTGGAGCATCTGTGTCACCCACTGCTCTGGTTTCATGAATGGATTAGATGCAGAGGATATTTTTGTCATGTGGGTGTATGCATCCAATGACACATACAGTAACTCTCCTACTTCTCCTTCTGTATAAAATACACGGCATTAATTCTACCCTTTTTCAATCTAGATCTGACTACCAGTGCACCAGACGAACAGTCCATCATCACATATGTCGCTCAGTTCCTGGAGTACTTCCCTGGCATAGAAGAAGTAAGAGTCTTTGCTATTCTATCCATGGTGCATCGCTTCTTTTTTTATTTTTAAGGACTTAATTATTCTTTAAGAAATTGTATGTAAAATGTCTATATATATCCAGGGCGGTTGTGTTGAATTTTAAAGAGGATATTTTCTACTAAATTGACTTTGTCACGGTGTAATTGTCTGCCTACTCCTTAAATTACAGTTTTCAGCAACTAGGATGTTTTATGATCTGTAAAAAATGCAGAAACGTGTAACTCAAAACAAGGCATTCAGATTTCACCCCCTCCTAGCCCTGGTAATTACAATAGCCCAGAGTGGATGGCTCCACCCATAATACCAATTGTACCAGTGAGATGATCCGCCGTTTGCTTTAGCGATACACTGCTGCTGGACCACTGTAATGTCGACCCAGAATAAAAGCACAGCTGCTCTGTTGTTGGATGCTCAGCTCATGCCTTGATGGCATCTACATGGAGCCTTATCCAAAACAAAGGTTGTCAAAGGAAATTGCTGGCTGTCACTTAGAATTATAGGTTACGTTCCATCTGAAATTACAGCAAAAAGCTCAATTACAATGTGAGCTGAGGTTTGGAACACAAGCTATATTATGTTAACACCTGCGACATTAAGAGCGATTTGTTATCTATTATGACAGAAGAGGGACAACGCATGTTGTTACTCAGATTGTGATAGCTTCCGGTGGGCTAAGCAGAGCCAGGTCCAGTTAAAGCAGGTTTATTTTAACAACTAAAACCAGAAAAGTGCTGAATGAAGCAGCTGTCTCTGCCAGAATTCACGCTGATTCTCCACTCTTCAAACTCGCACTTTCACACACACAAAGCATTTTGTTTCCCACATTACTCACACACCTCATCAGTATGTTACATCAGGCAATAAATGCCAGGCAAATCATGACATTATAACCAAAGAATTAGGTTAGGTTATTAGTTAGGCTAAGTTAGGCTAACCGAAAACCCGTAAAAACAGGTATTAGGCTAACCGAAAACCCGTAAAAACATAACAATAACAATATTTAATTTGAAGTAATATGGAAGACACAAAGCTAACTTACTAACAATAACAATATTTAATTTGATATTTAATATGGAAGACACAAAGCTAACTTACTTCTTACTGCTATAAAACATGCAGGTTTAGTCTTAGCTCTTTACACTCTTCTGGAGCTGCAGGGTGTAGGTCAGGGGCCCAATTATTATAGTACAAATACTAACACTTCAGAATATTCCATTAAACCTGTGATAACACAAAATGATTCCCATCATCCACTTTTTCCTCAGCCTGAGGAGCCACACCAAATCATTGAACGGAGCATCTCCATGGGCCGACTTAACTTTGAATCCGACCCTTTCCGGAGTGATATTCATCGAGGAAGAGTGAAGGAGACGTCCTACAGGTTCCAGAGTGATTATTTGAATAAACCACCCAAAATCTTAATCTCCTCAGTGTCGGAGGACATGGGTACCATGTCACCAGAGTTTGTCCCAGCTGCTGCACGGGCGTGGTCTGCCGAAGACGTCTTAGCAGAATCTCCACACGTAGAAAACATCTCTAGCCGTGTCCTTGCAGATGCTGAGGATCTCACAAGTAAGGAGAAACTATTCCACAGCCAATCGCTGAGCGACTCTTCGGTGCCCGAGTGTGTAAATACTGAGTCGGTACTTGGTGACTCAGCCATAGGAACACCAGATTCGTTGATGGAAAGTGACTTTGGGGTGATATCAGAGAAGTTCTGTGAGAGCAGAAGTGACAGTTTTTTGTGTGACAGTGAAGGTGATGTTTATCATGCCATCGCTGTGGATGTAACCAGTCACGACGAGGGATTTATGCCGTTCTCAGATGACGGAGACACTGCAGAGGCATTTAGCGACCAAGAGACTGAAATAAAAACGTCACCTGAGAGAATGCTGGAACTATTTGAAGGAGACTTTGAGGGGAAAGGAAGTAAATCACAAGAAAGGGACATTATACTTGACAACAACTGGAGTTCTCTTGAGAACACAAAGGAACTAATTGAATCATGTGAGGAAAAAGAAGTTGAAGTATCAACTACGTGCATGGCAAACTTTGAAAATCACAACCAGGACTTGGTACGAGACCAAACATTATGTTTAGAAGGAAAAATGAACTCTCAAACAGAGAGCACAAATATTTGCAATGAGGAGGTCGGCGTCGGAATGGAAACAGATTCTGTGTGCGAAGAGGAAAAACGGGGACCGAGACTGGAAACATTGATTGTACACAGAGAAGAAGTACTTGTAGAAACACAAACTGAAGCAGATCAAGAAGTTCTGATGTGTGGCCAATATCCTGAAGACAGTATAAACACAGATACTGATAACCCTTTGGTCACTACAAGTCTAACTAAGCAACATGAAGAACCAGACCTTCCTCTTAGTTCTATTTGTAGCGAGCCAGAAGAACAGAGCCAGCAGAAACCATGTGACCTCTCAGATACGCTGGCTTACACTGGTAATGATGAGAGAACTCAACCAGAGAAAACCACATCAAATGGAACCAATCCAGTTTTCAGTGTCAAAAACGAAGATGAACCGGATTGTCATTCTAGTCGCAATGATGAAAGAAACTCTGTTGAAATTTCCTGCCATTTGGAAGTCGCTGATATTGACGAAGAACAAGACTTCAGCATTCCAAACACCACAGATGATGAGGAAACCATGGAAAAGGGTTGTAATCTGGGAGAACATCCTCAGACGGTTTTCACTGACATAGATGGTAGGGGTCTGAATTCCACAGATTATAATTTTCAGCCATTAAAATCTGACCAGGATGAACTGGGAGACATCTTTTCTGATAGTGACCCCACCGACACACAGCAGGTCATGCTGAATCAGTTAGATTCTCCAGTGGACTGTGGAATGGCTGTTTCTTGCTTTGAGTCCAAAGCCGTGGATTCCCCAGATGTAGCCGTTGGTAGATGCTCTCCCTTAGAGGATGTAGTTTGTGACCTAATTGAACCAATGGATCTGTTCTATCCAGACAAAGAGGAGCCAATGATGGCAGAGCCACTTTACAATGAACTGCACAGTTGGCCGTCTGTGTTGAGTGTTTCAGCTCTGCAGCCAGCGCCAGTGTCAGAAACTTTACTCGATGACGAATCAGGCATCGGACTGGATAAGGAGTCAAGCAACCAGTTGGACGTTAAATCAGACAAGGTGAATGCAATTTCTTAATACACTTGTGATTTTTATTTTCATTTTGTTTCAGTGTATATATATTGACAATTGCATCCCACAACTCTTTAAATGTGACAGAGATTTCCTTTTCCTTTTCCTTACTGGGTACTAGTTTATTTCCCCATGCTTTCTGTTGCTATTAGATAAACACCCAGTCCCACCAGGAAACTGAAAAAGCATCAGAGTCCCAGGAGAGGCCAGTTTTACCTCGGGAAACGTTGGGAGGAGCCTTTGGTGATGTTATTGCAGCTGATCACAGCAACATCACTGAGGCCGAACAACAGCAGAGTTTACGCTGTGCTGGGGGAAGTACAGAGCTTGTGAGGTAGGATTTCCATAATTAGTCATTTTAGTGGAGCACTGGGATATTTACTAACTTTCCCTTGGAGAAACTTGGTTCCCATAGTGTAGTTTTTGATTTTTTTCAGTACTTTCTTAGTAGTAGTTTTTAGTATGATGCAAACCCTAACTGGCATAAAACTCCTCCAATAAAGGAATGATGAAAGATTTTTTTTTTTTTAATATTGTTGTTGTTCTTGTTTTCAATAAACATGTGCTTTATTTACACTCTGATTTTATATTTGCAGGAGTGAACCTGGGCCTCCATGTTTTGGAGGTGACAGCCTGATCCCTCAGTTACGTTGTAGAAAGGGTTCGAGGCTCAGGGTGTCTCCAGCTAGACTGGTTAGTTACTTTCTGGAAAAAAAGTATAGTATAATGCTTGGGTAAAAATGTAAATTAGTAAAGTTATTTTTTCTGCTTGTTTCTAACAAAGCAGGGTGATCAGCGAGATGTGAAGGAAGTCGTCAAAATAACAGATGACACCAATACTGTTTGGTGAGTATGAACTTTGTGATAAATTCTGTTGACTTAGCTGAGAGTTATACAGTAGGATACCCTGTCTGACGTCTCCCTTCCTGTGTGTGTGTTTCTGTGTATGTTTGTGTGTGCAGTGGAAGTGAAAACCCAGAGTTTTATCTGCTGTTGCTGCTCTGGCTACTGCTCTACTGTTTTTGGCTACTGCCACAGATGGACGTGAGAAAACTGCCCAGTCTGCTGCTCAACTTCAACCACTAAAACACAGATTGTATACAAACGCACAAACACAGTTTTAACTGCCATCCAAGCCTACATTTCCTTTACACTAACTGTACTATAAGGCTGATAGTTGTACAACTTTTAGCTTTTTGCGTTTTGTCACCGTCTGTGCTCCTAATGGGTTTAATGACATATGACAGGGGTCACCAACTATATTTGTCGGAGGGCCAGAATTTTTCTGGACAGAAAGCTTGGAGGCCGGACACTCAGATAAAATGAAATAAATATCAATTTATTGTGTAACATTATTATTTAATGTTTATTTTGGAATCCAGTCGCGGGCCGGACTGGACAGTTCAGCCGTGCCAGATTTGGCCCACGGGCCACCAGTTGATGATGATGCTATGAAATTATTTTAGGTATGGAGTAACTTTATTTTGAAAAAGATATATCCTCCAGCAACTGTCTCCTCTGCTAATAGTTGTTTGATCTCACTGATAATGATCACATAGATCTGAAGTATCACACTCTGAATATTGTGTGCTTGGAATTTTATGCTTGATAAGATCTGTATCCATATTTTAAAATGTTTTAAGATAACGCATGTTTATTGTAAATGTGTGCTTGAGCTTGAAGTTGATTTGACAAAGAAATATATTTCTACTATGTGTCGTGTCAATGAAGGTTTACGGCAAAGCAACTATTTTTTTGACCCTTTATTCTTTTGGCCGTCATTAATTCTTGAGCAAATTTCATTGCAAATCTAGCTGTATTTCATTTACACATTGGTTTAAAGTCACGCTTGTCATACATTTTAGTTCTGTGCTATGGTAAACAGACATTACTGCCTTGTTTACATATATGCTAACTAACCAAAAGTGGATTCAGTCTTTTGGCTAAAAGCTCAGTGTGGTAAAGTGATGAACCAAATATTGTAACTTTTGCTGCTGTGTACTGTGGACAGACTACATGCATTTTGGATGTTTTTTTGCTGTGATCATAACATGTGAATTATAAGCCGCATCCAACAAGTTTAAGGAGAATTCAAATTTGAGAAAACACGCACATAAAAGCTTCCTGAATATAGGAATGTATCTTTAGGTGACTAAAAGATGTGAAAAGATGATAATAATAAAAAAAATGACTTAATTATGAAATCATTTGAAAAAAGAAAAATTGAACTTCCTGTTCAGTAGGGCCACATTTCAACAACTTATTACCAGGAACTAGTTTTCAAATTAATTGCGTTTGCTTTTAATTAAATTCTTACCTGGGCATGTCACCAAACTGCAGTTTATTTTTTCATTGCCATAGTACAACAAAAATTTGTTCCATGAGTGTTCTTCTTCAGAAGCGCCCAGAACAAAGGGGATTTGTTGTTTGCTCGACCAACCACAGCCATCCAAGGTGGGAATCGAACCTGTGATCCTCTGATAACAAGCCCAGAACCAATCAGCACTGCATTCTGTTGTAGTTCACATACGCAATCCTGGTTCGTCAGTTCACATTCAAGAAATTGTTGTTACCTTAAGTTAAAACGAACATAGTTTCTACTGCAGCTATTTTTTGTGTGTATAGATGAATGTTTGCTGAAGAGTTTCTTTAATAACCAGACTTCAACAACAAGGTAACACTGCCAGTAGACTTCAAAACAAAAGCAGGCTCTGTTTGTACCAACTAAATATTTATATTTGAAAAATTGTAAGTTTGAAAACCTAACTGTGTTGACACAAAGTTTAACTGGTCTAAACATAACCACATTAAATGAGCTGTGCTTTGATTTGCCATCAACAAATATTAAAGTAATTTTACCACACGGTTTTCATTGTGGACATTTTCATCAATCTCAGGAAATAAAGTTTGGATTTTGTGAAAACTTCTGGTTTGTTTTTATTTATAAATGTTACAGGCGTGCAGATGGTTGTTGTAACAGTAGGGGGAGCAGGGGTTACGGTGAGATGGAGCCAGATTATTAGCCCGAAGTTTTCACCTTACACACAAGAATCATTCACCAACAACTGCTGTATTTGTCATCCACTGTTACAGATCTCATTAAACGTGCTCCTACTGTAAATGATTTGATTTGAATCTGCAGTGTGGTAATGCTGTCATCTAGAGGCCATTGCATGATTCACCAAGAGGATCAGAGCCCAGCTGCTAACCTATGTTTTTGGCTGGCTTTTCTATATGTTGCAGCAACATGGTCATACTGCAGCTAAATTGTGTCTTCAGGTCTTTTCGTTCTGCGTCCTCAAAACTAATTTCCGGCAACATCACCTCTCGTCTCATCTCTCCCTCTCTCTAGCTCTCACTTAAACAGCCCAGCCAACAATCAATCTTTTTTTTAAAGAAGACTTACAGATGAATGTTTTACTTATTTTTTGTTGTGGATTACATGAAGATGTAATGTAGTCCAGTTTGATATAGTACACACACATTTAAAATAAAAATTAAAAAGGTCCAAAAAGCATTCCCGCTGTCATCCAGGTACAGACATTAAGTTATAAACAATGTTTGATGAGCAACCTTAGAAGTATATAACAACCGTTAGTCGAGTTCATATTTGGCATTATTACTTTGTTCTTTGACAACGACAGCTGTTTATTTACATTTTCTCATATACATATACGTATACATGTAAAAATACACACAAGTATTTCAACTATGTAGTATGCCCTACTAACATTGGCACCTGCTATGTTACAAGTGCATTAAACAACACAACATCAAATTGTAAACAAAACAATACACAACACAAATGTGAACAGTTCATAATCATTTTGTACATAAGTTTACTGACTTATTACAATTATATTAAACTAAACGGTTCCCATAGAATTATAGGCTCTCTCTTTTAAATGAGAGGTCGGAGGGGGGTAAGTTGGGCCCCGCCAAATGTCTTCCCAGGACACCCATAGGAATAGAGCTGGCCCTGCGTGGTGTAAGTTAGGAACGAGTCGTTACGCAATTTCCTTTTTGGCGTCGCAGAGGCCTAAGTATAAGGAAGTGGTCCCGCCGTGGACTAACAGCTACCACATCGACACGACAAGGGTGACTGGTAGTGAGGATACGCCGCGTCTGGTCCGAGGTACAGTTTGAACGACACGACCGAGACAAAAACAGAGCTCTGGTGAGACCGTGTGATGTATTAGGTTAGGTTTGTGTGTGTGAATGATCTGTTGTTGCTCTCCTGGCCTTGGCAGCTATTAGCTAACTAGCTGTGTGACACGGTGCTGTTGCGTGCTGAGTGGTTTGGATGTGGTACACGCTGCGGTGTTAGCTGAAAGAGGCTGTGTTGTCACTTCAGCTCAACAGTTGACAATGGACGCGGGGACAGCCCGGCAAACGGAGACATCGGCGGTTTTTATTGTTCAGTTAGAATGTTTACAATGTGTTTTTTGACTGGCGGTATATCTATGTGTTACAGTTAGCCAGCCTTGCTAATTGATAGCAGTGTGTCTGTGTGTCATTGCAACATTTACATTTTAGTTAGCAAGACTTTTATTAATTTATCTATCTTAATCTTTCTATTAAACGATGTGGTCATTTAAAAATGGGGTAAGAGTGTACGTTACAATTGTTAATTATACATTATTTACTGTTCGAGGTACATGAAGCACAGAAAACGCTGACAAAACGTTGTTAAGAAATATTCTGCATATACTTCTATATCAATTCCTCCATTTGCCCCTGTTAAATTGGTTTTAGGGGGATATTTGTAGTTTACTTTTAAACTGTAAAGTCCGTTGAGACAAATGTGATTTGTGAATTTTGGCCATATAAATTAAATGTATGTATATATTGTTGTATTTTTTTTTTTGTTCTCCTGTTGTGGTGCACCCTCAATTTCGTTGTACCCCTGTGGTACAATGACAATAAAGACTTTTCTATTCTTTTTTTTATTCTAAATTGACTTCAATCTAGTCAATAATTTTTCTCAATGGTTTGTGCCTGTTTATTTAAAAATGGCTAAAGTACTTTAAAATTAAAAAAGAAACAATAATTGATACAATATGGGTGAAATAAATAAATACCAAGGTGAATGCACAAAAATGGGAAATATTGTTGAATTAAATTAGTTTTAAATATTAGTTTAAAAATGCAAGTTGGGTTAAATTTTGACAGTTCAAAGATGGAGGAGCTGCTCCTTCTTACAGGGCCTTTACAGTGAAAACTTATGTAATTCATCCTATGACTAGTTATAACAGAGAGCCACTGGTGGGCTAGCCTTTGGGAGTGGGGGGAGGGGGGGCATGGGTTTGGAAATTCTGCCAGGTAAGCAGGAGTCTAACCTTGTTAGGAATATACTTTTAAAACAAATTCTTGATACAGATGGGGCAGTTTGTTGGAATAAGCAGAAATAGCTACATGTTTGTCTTCACTGTTCTGGAGGCACCGCTGGACGGTTTGTCAGGATTGCAACCATGAAATCGTAAATGAGACATTTTAACTGAGAAGCAGAGAGTTTGGCATGAAACAGACAAAATGGTTTGGGGAAAAAAAAATACCACATTTGAAATCATCCAATAGTACAAGACCAGTAGTTTTTGGATAGTAAGGGACTGTAGATGGAATACTGTTGTTCAGGACAACAGTTCCTCTGACGTTTTTCAACATCAACTGTTGATGCGTTCTACAAACCACCGCCAAGATGCACAGTTATGACAAAATCCTCTATCTAGTGGAATGTTAGAGTTGTACTTTTGTGGGTTTTTTTTTTTTTTGAAGTTGTACTTTTGTGGGTTTTTGACATTTCTAACATTTTTTGTTCATAATTATGTTCATAATTCAAATAAAAGGTGTGAGACACATACATCTTTGTAGGACAGCTGTTATTTGTCCTACTGTTTCAGCAATAAACAGTAGAAAATCATACTTAGGTGTCTTCATTTATCACAACCAATCATAAAAACTTGTTTAATAATTATTGCTCTACTCTGTGATTCATCAGATTAGCGGTTTTAAAAACCCTGATTTATTGATATGTTTCTGTTTTTTTTGTTTTTTGTTTTTTTTTAGGTCTATTTCAACCCAAGCGTGAAGAGCATCTGGTGTTGAAGTAGAATATTTTATCATGTGGAACATATGTTGGCTTGTGCCTATCAGAAAATTCCCAGCTGCTACCTGTGAGTACGACGTTGCACCTGTTTATATTCTAAGAGCCGCTGTTTAGCTAATGTTACCTGAATGGCTGTCATTCATGTGAAATAAATTCAGTGTAGTTAAGGAATCCCTAATGTCATCAATGACACTGATATCGTGGATGAAATTTATTGTAATATATTGATTATTGCAGAATCGCTGTATTGCGATATTGTCATTATCGTGTGTAAAATATCATGTTAATATCGTATCTCGCGATACACATCCCTATGCTACAGTCGTTAATGGTAAATATGTTGGTTACTAACACTTCCATTGGAACATATTTTGATATTTTAGGTGTGTATGTATTCACTGTAATTGGTATTGCAGTTACATTTCTTGTCCTCATTTGCCTTGGCAGTGAACTAGTGAACAACGGGGGGGGAAATGAAATGAGATAGAGTGAGCGACCGGAGGAGCCCAGCCCCTATCTCCACCTTTCCAGAATGGCAGGTTTACAGCTGGTCACCCCTGCTACTTCACCCATGGGGCCTTTCTTTGGTCTGCCATGGCAGCAGGAGGCCATCCATGATAACATTTACACACCTAGGAAATATCAGGCAAGAAGTCAACACCCAAACTTACAACATTTGCTTGATGTTTGTCTTGTCCTGTTTGAATTAACAGTGTGTAAACCTATTTGTTTCCTTCACAGGTAGAACTTCTTGAAGCAGCTCTTGAACATAATACTATTGTCTGCTTGAACACTGGCTCAGGGAAGACCTTTATCGCAGTACTCCTAGTAAAAGAGCTCTCCTACCAAATTCGAGGAAATTACCTAGGACATGCAAAGAGGACTGTTTTTCTGGTAAACACAGGTACTGACAATTTACACTCTGAAACTTCTTGTGAATTCAGTTTTTTTACAGTTTACACTTATTTTACATTGAAAACAAACCGGTGACAATACAAACAACACATTTCCTCAATGCCGTACCGTACATTAAAGTGCTTCAAAAACGAGCATTATTTTATTTGTTTTTTTCCTTTTTGCTGTATTGTTTGGTATGAAACAGTAAACAGACACAGGAGAATAATAGCTTAATTACAAATAACTTTTTTTGTTTTGATTCTATTCCACTGCTTAATGCCCCAGTCATACTGAAGTTAATTAAAGTAATAAATGATAATGTATTTTCCTTTATCTCTGTTATTGTTCAGCTTCAACTGCAGTGCAGCAAGCAGCTGCTATTAGGACCCACTCTGACCTGGAGGTGGGAGAATACACAGATTTGGGGAAAGCAACAGAATGGACTGACCAACACTGGGGTCAAGAGATTATTAACAATCAGGTGTGTGTCTTTGTTTTTCATGGTTGACATAAAATAGTTATCATACCATCAAAGGCATTTTGATTCTCATTTGCACTTATCACCCCATCTGCATTCTGCTTCATACAGGTGCTGGTCATGACCTGCCATGTATTCCTGTACATTTTGAAGAAAAAAATCTTGCTTTTGTCCAAAATTAACCTGGTGGTGTTTGATGATTGTCACCTAGCCATCACAAACCATCCTTACTGTGAGATAATGAAGGTGAGGTTATGGTCTGGGGCTGAAATAGATCCTGTTCTTCAGAAGTGGCAGTGTTGTAAATGACCAAGCGTCTTGTCTCTCTGCAGCTGTTTGAAGGCTGCTCGTGCTCTCCTCGAATCCTGGGACTCACGGCGTCTATTCTAAATGGGAAATGTGATCCTTCGGAATTGGAGCAGAAGATCCTGAATCTGGAGAGAATTCTCAAAAGCAATGCTGAAACTGCCACAGACCTTGTGGTTCTGGACAGGTCTCGTTAGCCCACTGCTCTACTTTTGCCAAAAATATACATATGTTTTTTTTTTAAGCAAATCAGGACTGGTCTGAGGTACATATAAAGAAAAAAAGTTAACATAAAAATACTTCTTATTAGTATTTTATAAACAGGATTTTTCTTTATTATTGGTTTATTTACTTATTTTATTTATTATCATTTTTGGTGCTATTATTTGAGTGCTTTTGTTTTTTTTCACAGTACTGTTGTGTGGATTAGGTTTGAAAATGTGAACCTGTGAATTTTATTCCAATATAAAAACTAAAAGTAGTCAACAATAACTTAAAGTAGATGAGTATTAAAGCCTAGTTTATTTCCAGGTATGCCTCTCAGCCAAGAGAAGTCGTGCTGGATTGTGGCGTCTACACAGACAAAAGTGGACTTTCTTCCCAACTGCAGCTGGAGCTGGACGAAGCTCTTCACTTTCTGAACGACTGCAACATCTCTGTCACCAGAGAAGACAGAGATCCTACGTTCATCTCCAAGCAGGTAATGAAACGTTCACACCAAGGTCAAATTGACACTCTTTTATAATGTGTTTGTTATAACCATGATGTCTGTATGGTTTCAAGAGACATTGGCGAATGACTGCTAGAAGCTCAAGTTACAATGTAGCTTTTGACCACACGGTGGCAGAAATGTACCACTCATTTCTTTAACAAGCTCCAGTGTAACATGAAGAAGACTGTCCTTTTCTCCAGCTGTAGCAAAAAGTATGGCTACATTTCTGTGTTGGTACAACCCCTACTTTATCAAATATAATATTTAATGGACCCCAGGCTAGCTTGTACTTAAAAAAATTGGCCTCAAGGTCAAAAAGGTCAGCAGGCGTAATGCTGTATGTACAATATTCTGACAACTTGTCAATGTGTTTCTCAGCTTATGCAATAATGTCTTCCTGTTCTGTCTAGATCCTGAGTGACTGCCAGGCTGTGCTTCAAGTCCTGGGGCCCTGGTGTGCCGACAAGGCAGCAGGCATTATGGTCCGGGAGCTTCAGAAATATATAAAACATGAACAGGAGGAACTCGGTCGCAAGTTCCTGCTCTTCACAGACACAACTCTGCGCAAAGTGCATGCTCTCTGTGAGGAGCACTTCTCTCCCGCCTCACTGGACCTCAAGTTTGTCACCCCGAAGGTTCTGCGGCTGTTGGAGATCCTCCATGAATACAAGCCCTTTGAACGACAGCAGTTTGAGAGCGTCGAGTGGTACAACAACCGCAACCAGGACAATTACGTGTCCTGGAGTGACTCGGAGGATGAAGACGAAGATGAAGAGGTGGAGTCCAAAGATAGGCCTGAAGCCAACTTTCCCTCACCGTTCACCAATATTTTGTGTGGGATCATTTTCGTGGAGAGGCGTTACACGGCCGTTGTCCTCAATCGGTGGGTTTACAAACACACATTGTGACATGTTGTTTAAGTTGTTTTTATGTAATATACTGACAAAATAGGATCAGGAAGCTGAAAGGTTACTGTAGACAAAAACATCTTAAAGGGGGACATGTTGTGTATAGTTGTCACTGGAGTAGACACTCCAGAGTCATCACCATTTTTTGTAGGGTATTAGAGTTAACCAGGGTGCAGTTTAAGCAAAACAAAAAAAGTTCTGAACAAAGACATTTTCTCAGCTGTTATGCAGATTCTCCGCTCTTGGAGATCGTTCTGACTCACATATGCATACACACACATTCAAAGGAAATATGTCACCTTATTGCACAATTATAACTCTCGGGCTATGCACTCCCCCTGCCCCCTCACTGCTCAGCCATGGCGCAGTCCACAATGTCTCCACCTGATAAGGAGGAATGAGCGAGCAGTGTTTTCAGTCTTTTCTTGTTTTGTTTATAAGGAGGAATGAGCGAGCGGTGTTTTCAGTCTTTTCTTGTTTTGTTTTTAGGTTAATTGTATTGTCATGCCAAACGTTGTGTTATTCTTGAGATGGTCTAACTAAGGTACTATTTTTGCTTAAGTCTTATTAAGGAAGCTGGGAAGCAGGATCCAGAGTTGGCTTACATCAGCAGCAACTTCATCACTGGCCACAGCATTGGCAAAAACCAGCCTCGGAACAAACAGATGGAGGCGGAGTTTAGGAAACAAGAGGAGGTACGTAGACAACGTTGAGAAATACCAACATAAATAATATTACAAAACCATGGTCAGGATTTTCAACATGGCTCTGTCCACTTATCCCCAAATTGTTGCCCCAGTCCCTCAGCAACTTTAAAGGGAAAACAGTTTGACTCAGCTGTAGAGTAGGTGTGTTCTTGTCTTCTGTCCAAACACCATTTCATTTTTTGCGCAGGTTCTACGCAAGTTTCGAGCCCATGAAACCAACCTCCTTATTGCCACCAGCATTGTGGAGGAAGGTGTGGATATCCCAAAGTGTAACCTGGTCGTGCGGTTTGACCTGCCCACTGAGTACAGGTCCTATGTCCAGTCCAAAGGCAGAGCTCGTGCACCAGTCTCCAACTACATAATGCTGGCCGACACGGAGAGGACCCAAGGCTTTAAAGAAGACCTCACAACGTATAAGGCCATAGAGAAGGTAACCTGATTTAACTTCACTGTTACACATATTTATGTTAACTAGATATAAGGGGGAGGGGGATGGTGAAAACATTTCTGTCCCAGGGAGGGGGTCTTAGTGGTGTTTGAGCAGAAATTCACTGCAGTTCTCCCAGGGGCTCGGAATACAGTTAAGTAGTACACAACAAAATGGATGCAGTAAGAGATATCCATCTTTTAATCCATCCATTTGTTGTGTAGATGGGTAGTGTTCTCCCATACAGTGAGTTGGTCAGCCATACATAGCCTGAGTTAATCTATTCATTTAATAAATACATGTATGAATTATTTTTCTGTGCAGATTCTAAGGAACAAATGTTCAAAATCACTGGAGGTGAGTGAGTTTGAGGTGGAACAGGTGATGGACGATGACAACATTCTCCCACCCTACGTGCTTCGTTCTGAGGATGGCAGCCCCCGGGTCACTATCAACACAGCCATTGGACACATCAACAGGTAATTGAGTCAAGATTAAAGTTACATAGGCTGTGCTCTCTCCTTACAGCAGAATCATTTTAGACTGTTTTAATTTTCCTGGTTCTCAGATACTGTGCTCGGCTGCCCAGCGACCCATTCACCCACTTGGCACCCAAATGTAGAACTATGGAGATGCTCGATGGATTCTTCCAGTCTACGCTCTACTTACCCATCAACTCGCCCCTGCGGATTCCTATTAAGGTGGCCTACACTATTAGACACTTATTTAAATTTTGGTTCTTGTGGATTTGCTCTTCACACTCTTTTACATTCACATTCTAAAGCTCAGGTACTTCCCATCAGTATCAGTCATCAGTCTTTCTAGTTCACAATGGTTTTATCTTAACTTTGACAGGGTCCCAAAATGACCTGTGCCAGGCTCGCAGAGAAAGCTGTTGCTCTTTTGTGCTGCGAAAAACTCCACAAAATAGGTATAACCCCAGTTGAAATATTGTAAATGTATGTACTGTAAACCATCACTGTACTTCATGTCACATTTTGTTTTCTTTTCTACTTTTCTTTCCAGGTGAGTTGGATGATCACCTGATGCCGGTGGGAAAGGAGACTGTCAAATATGAGGAGGAGATGGACCTCCACGATGAGGAAGAGACAAGTGTCCCTGGCCGCCCTGGTTCTACCAAGAGGAGACAATGCTATGCTAAAGCTGTAAGGGAGTCGTGCAGCTCTACCACCCTTTTATCTAGACTTGTGTAACTTTTAGTGAATGTGGGCTCATGGGGCCCGGGCAGTGGCCAAAGGTTAGGGCCTTGGACTTGTCCTGCAACATGTCCTGCACACTTGGGTGAAGAGAGGGGCTTTTTCAAGAGTGGGTGACATTAAAATGCAATGGTAGATAGACAAGGGGATTAGTGCAGCATCGCACGGCTTTTTCAAGTGGGTGACGTTACAATGGAATGCAATGGTAAATAGACAAGGGGATTAGTGCAGCATCGCCAGTGATGCTCCCTCTATATCAATCCGTTGGGGTGAACAAGCTGAGCTGAGGACAAACTGCCAGGGTAGAGGGAAGTTCTCTGCTTAGGCTGCTGCCCTGCAACCCAACCTTGGATTAGTGGTAGAAAACTGAATGATGGATGGATTTCATCAGTAATTTCTCTTTCAGATTCCTGAGTGTCTGCGGGACAGTTATGCTGTTCTTGGCCAGACCTACTACCTTTATGTGATTGGGATGGTTCTTACCACTCCACTACCAGATGAACTCAACTTCCGCAGGAGGAAGCTCTACCCACCAGAGGACACCACCCGGTGCTTTGGCATCCTGACTGCGAAACCCATACCTCGTGTAGGTTTTTTTACCCAAATGAATCATAAGTAGCAAGTAGATTTAAACAGTTTTGTGTTTGTTGACAGTCAGAGAAAAATAAGATGTTCATTCTTCTTGGCTCAGATCCCTTATTTCCCAGTGTACACTCGCTCGGGTGAGGTGACGATCTCCATTGAGCTGCAGAAGTCTGGCTTCACCCTCACTGATACCCAGCTTGACCTCATCACACGACTGCACCAATACATCTTTTCCCACATTCTGCGCCTGGAGAAACCTGCATTGGAGTTCAAGCCCACACTAGCTGACTCGGCTTACTATGTTCTACCTCTGAATGTTGGTGAGTAAACATGTCCTCATTTTATATTTATGAGATTTAAGACTTATGGATCCCTTTTTTTTTTTTTCTTTTTGAAAAACATGTCCAGCTGTCTGAGTTTCAAAAATATACAGTATACTGTAGATATACAATACTAGATCATCTCTGTGTAGTCACTGTTTACATTCAGAGTCTTCTTTTTCTTTTTTTTCTTTCTTCCAGTTGGGGACTCCAACACCCTTGATATGGACTTTAAGTTCATGGAAAACATTGAGAAGTCCGAGGCCCGAACTGGCATTCCCACCACTCATTACACAAAGCAGAACCCCTTCAGCTTCAAGTTAGAGGACTACCAGGATGCTGTGATCATTCCAAGGCAGGTGTTGTTGTCTTGTAAGAACCAGCATAGGTTAACAACAGGTTAACTAAAACTGAACCAAAAACATACCCTTTATCTTAAGACTCCAGTCATGCAGAGTCCTATCTTCAATGTTCTGTCTTTATGTATACACTGGCACAATGACTGATTTATTAGAATGTAATATGGACCAAAACAAAGTTATTTTATATTGTATAGATACTGCTCCTGGTTGTACATTTAAGAAGAAAAGTGTTTAAAAAAGGACAAAAAATAGTAGTAAAAAAGTAAGACTGTATTTTTTACACTCTTACTTTGACACTAGGCTTTTACACTAGAGTATTACAGATCAAACGCCTGAATGTAGCTTTTAAAACTAATTAACCATTAATTAAATAAATTGTAAATCATAGTTAAATATGAAATCATGTTATGTATATGTATATATTGTGTAGTTTTTAAAAAAAATTACAGTATGCCAAAATAAAATAACAGCATGTATATTCAGCTTCAGTCTTGTTGACAAGGACTAGACCCAATGTCTTTTGTGTCTTTTTTTTTTTTTTGCAGGTATCGTAATTTCGACCAGCCTCACCGCTTCTATGTGGCGGATGTGTACACAGATCTGACGCCACTCAGCAAGTTTCCATCACCAGAGTACGAGACGTTTGCAGAGTACTACAAAACCAAGTACAATCTGGATTTGTCCAACCTGAACCAGCCCCTCTTGGACGTAGACCACACCTCCTCGAGGTCAGCAGCTCACAGCTCATAATAATTAGTTTGTTTTAGAAATGTCTATTGAACACAGTAACTTTTCATCTTTAGACTCAATCTGTTGACCCCTCGTCACCTGAACCAGAAGGGCAAAGCTCTACCACTGAGCAGTGCAGAGAAGAGGAAGGCCAAGTGGGAAAGTCTGCAGAACAAACAGGTGAGAGCTATTTTTGACTTCTCAGTTTTACAGGAAGGGTGGAGCCAATCCCAGCAGTTTGTCAGCACCTGCCTTTATGAAGTACGGCGCTGTGTGTAGGGCCACATGTTTGCGTAGAGGGCCCCTTTTCTGGCAGTACATGCATATTGCCTGGTTGATGCACCTCACCTGAGTGATATAGCTTACCATCGCCATCTACTGGGAAAATAATTCATAACGGCCATAGCTGTTAAAAAAAAAGTTGAGAGAAGAGAAGTGTGTTTTCCTGAAAATGCTTCTCAAACTTATACCTTTGGACTAATGAAAGTGTTGAGTTGATATAAATCTGCATATGTTTAAACTGTTGGAAAAAACAAATCCTCCCATTTCTTTCTCTGCTGTAAAGCAAGATCACTTAACACACTGCCACCATGTGGCTGACACACTGACTTACCTAAATGGTTTTATGACTTACCTAAGCTTGTGCATGTGCATAAAACCCCGTGTGATTTAGTGCTGTTATTACTAACGATAATTAATTAATGTTGTGCTGCAACACATTTGTGTTGGCGTAGCTGCTGCATACCCGCTAAACTAAGCTACTAGCCAAGCTATATCCTGTTATTAAAGTTAAATGAAAAGAGGCAAACCAAAATGTTCTGAATTCACTGCATATCCTTGTGAGTCTTGATCTACAGTGACCACACCTTAATTTCTGGCACTCATGTAAATGTTTTTCAGATTCTTGTTCCAGAGCTGTGTGCCATTCACCCCATTCCTGCCTCCCTGTGGAGAAAGGCAGTGTGTCTTCCCAGCATCCTCTACCGCCTCCACTGCCTCCTGACCGCTGAGGAGCTGAGGGCTAAGACGGCAACGGAAGCAGGAGTGGGAACTCAGTCCCTTCCATCTGACTTCAGGTTCGTGCTGCATTCACAAAAGTTAAACAGTTAAAGACTTATGGTGTTTGGAAAAACATTGCAAGAACAGAGTTTAGCTACTTGACATAAGTTTTGCCAGAAAACCTTATCATGCTCAGGTCTACTGTGCCTTAAGAAATATTTGGTTATTTTTATCTTTTACTGAGACAGTCTATTCCAAGTGAAACATAAAAAGTTAGTAAGTTAGTTGTTTTTTTTCAGTGATCGATCTAAAATTCTGAATGTTACTTGTTTTGGTTCAAAACTAGCTTGAAATTCTTTTGGTACGTGGTACATTAGGCACTTTCACATTCTCTTTTAGAAAATCTGGACTTGAAATTCTTGATGTTGATGTTTCAGGTATTCAAACCTGGACTTTGGCTGGAAGAGATCGATTGACAACAAAACGTTCATCTCCTGCCAAGAGTTTTGTAACGAGGATGATGAGGGTCACTGTGAACAACAAGAGGCTACAGCCCATGACTCCAGTAACCTCACGCAATCATGTATTGACCACTCTCCTGTGCTTGAGCACGGACACCATGTTGACCCTGAGCCTGAAGACCCTCACTGCACCAGGCATTTTACTAACGGCACTACCCCTGTAGCACACTCTGACACCAGCAGTCAGAAAGACGAGCACCTTCATCACCAAGACAATTGCCAATTTTCCCAGCCCAACGAGCCTGTGCCGCAGAGCTCCAAATCAATGCAAACCACTACCTCAGTTTCTGCACGGCCCTCGGACATCTTGACGAAGCCCAGCCCCAGCCCCACACAGCCTAGTGACAAATGTACACCTGAAAGCACCTCACTCAACACAAGTAAAGCTACCTCAGTCTGCAGCCAGGTTGCTATGGGTCCCAGCACAGCCACAGCACCTTCATCTGACCTACCCTCTGGCAACAAGTGCAGAGTCCTGGCAGAAAACACCTCCAAAAGTCTGGGACCCAACCCCGGCCTCATTCTGCAGGCCTTGACTCTTTCGAATGCAAGCGATGGCTTCAATTTGGAGCGGCTGGAGATGCTTGGCGACTCCTTCCTTAAGCATGCCATAACGACATACCTGTTCTGTACCTACCCTGATGCCCATGAGGGACGACTCAGCTACATGCGCAGCAAAAAGGTCAAAATCATTTCAGAAATTATAACTTAAGTTTTAAGTTTTTTCCTGGCGCTGGTAATTCTTCTAATGAAGCATGCACGTTTAACTGAAATACATAGTTTAAACAGTTTTCTGAGCTAAGGTTTTAAAGTCAAAATTTCGAGTCAGCCATCTAAAGAATTTCAGGAGTTTCCATAAAAGAAGTATTTATTGCTTCAGCAATAAAACTAGGAATGGCTGGATACGACTGTTTACATGTATGGACCAATACCGATGTCAATCCGATACCTTTTTTCCTTTAGCATAAAGTTGTATGCCGATTGCAATAGTGTCTCTGTTTACGGTTGAGCTTAGGTATCGGATCAGATTGCCTATAGTGGTTTGGTTTTTTTTCGATGTTCAGTCTCAAAATTTATTGGTATATCAGACCGATACTGATCCTGAGTATCGGATCGAGCCGTCTCTAATTTAAACATCCAGTTCCATTAAACAATAGTAGAAACACGTCTCTGACAACTTATAATCATGCTTTTCTATATTATCCAGGTGAGCAACTGTAACCTATATCGCCTTGGGAAGAAGAAAGGCCTTCCCAGCAGGATGGTGGTGTCCATTTTTGATCCTCCGGTCAACTGGCTCCCTCCTGGTTATGTGGTGAACCAGGACAAAGGTGGCTCTGACAAACAGGACTCGGCGGTCAGTAGACCTTCTTCTGTTAGCATACAATGGTTGTTATTACCATATATTTTTACTGTATAAACGCTTCAGTAAGGAACTAAAATAAGAGACGAGGTTAGCTTTCAGATGTATCACGATAGTAACTGTCAGACCACGCTTAAGGTTAATGTGAAGCTAATTGTTTTCTTACACTGATACAAGTTTGTGTAGTGTGTGTGTGTGTGTGTGTAATAAGCACCTTTTTGCCACATCCACTATGTCCAAATATGACATGTACAAACACTACGTGAAGAATCGCAGCAGAACACCCTAAATGTTTTGCAAACTTAGGACAATACAGTTCCCACACAGAAAATTGTAACAGCAAAGCATAAATAATTAACAAACACTGTAAATGAGGCCTTTTAGCTTTATGCTAACAACATTTGCTGCAGCTTTCAGAGCATGTAGGGACTGATCAGTGTATCTAATGGTTAGAGCTTAATTCTATTGAATAACTGGGTTTGGATAACATGTTTCTGTGGGACCACTAGAGGGCAGGCTCTTACCTAGTCTCTACCTAGGCCTCTAAATCATACAGAGTATCTGAGAGCAAATGACCTGGTGAGTTTTGTGGTTGTGCATTAAATTATTACCAAAATAGAAACATGTGTTAACCTATCTTAGGATGTGGAAAAGGCTATTTTTCATGACACGAAGTAGGACGAAATTTTTTTTTTTCCTTTTTACTGCAGCCTGCTACTTACAGAGCTTATCTATATGTAGAAATGTACCCGTTTTATTCCTTCTTAGTCCTTTTCCATCGTGTAGAGCAGTGAATATTCTTTTGTTTTTAATAATGAAAGTTACTTAATATTCTTTCTTTTGTGTTCTTTGTAGGCCAATGAAGAACTTCTGACCAATGGGCAGTGTGGGACCACCTATGCTGACGACGACGATGATGATGATGATGATGAGGAGGAGGCTGAGGAGATGGATGAAGACAGTGAGGTTATGCTCAAGGCTGAGCCAAAGGAAGAAGTGAACATTGAAGATGATTTGGAATACTACAAAGAACACATTAGGTTCATTGATAGCATGTTGTTGGGATCGGGTGCATTTGCCAAGAAGATCTCTCTAAATGCTTTCCCTCCCTCCTCGACACCGGGCTCTGGTTCCTCACCTGCTATGGATTCTCCATACGATTGGAAGACCCCCAAAAAGCCTCACCATCCCACCACAGGCCCCTACCCCTCAGACACATCCTTCAGCGGACTGTCTTTAGAGGAGTTTGACTACAGCTCATGGGATGCCATGTGCTACCTGGACCCCAGCAAAGCTGGAGAAGAGGATGACTTTGTGGTGGGCTTTTGGAACCCGTCGGAGGAAAACTGTGGTGTTGAGCTGGGTAAGCAGTCAATCTCGTACGACCTGCACACGGAGCAGTGCATCGCTGATAAAAGCATCGCTGACTGTGTGGAAGCTCTGCTCGGATGCTATCTCACCAGCTGTGGAGAGAGGGCCGCACAGATGTTCCTCTGCTCCCTTGGCCTCAAGGTGAGCTCACACAACAGAGTCTGTTTTCTTTAACCTATGACTCTGGAGAACTCATTGTGTCACAACTGTGCGCCGCAGTTAGGGAAGGGAGTCTCTGGGTACCTCACAAAATTTAAAAGTGTATTTCAAATTCACTTCTGTATAACAGAATGTATTTTTAGCATTAAGTTTTATTGGTCAGCAGCATATAGTTTTTCTGGTGCTGTGTAACTCAATTTTTTACCATGAATTAAAACTGTACATCAATACCTTTGTCACTCACCTGTGCTAACACAACGGTGACATCATAATCTAGGCCATAAAAACATCAGAAGAGTCTGACTTACACCTGAGAACCATAATGACGGGCAAAAAGTTTTAAAAAAAAAAACCAAAACAAAAAAAACCCAGAAACAATCCAAGTGAATGTAGCACAATCCAATGTAGGCCGTACAACTGGGGAATATAAACGAAGCTGCCTTCCGTGCACGTAACAATCTTTTTGTCCGTTCTAACTGTTCCAACTATTCCAGCCCCCGAATGTAAAGCAAGAACACGACCAACGCCTTCATCAGGCCGCTTATATTGATCATAAATATTAAACAAACCTTTTTTTTCTTTTAGAGGGGAAGTTGTAAACCCAAACTATTCCTAGAAAAATCATTGAAATTTATTCATTCAGTTACAACAAACTTTGCAGGAAGCAAATTATAGCTCTATTGTCTAAAAGCAAAACATTAGATTTCTACAGCATTTTAGTATGCAAGCTTTGTACATCTGTTTTCCCTTGAGTTCTTCCTCTCAGTGCCAGAGGCGTGCTTGCTAAAGCTGTTTACTTTTTTCTTTTCTTTTTCCTTCCTTTGTCATATTATCAGCCAGGCAGCCATAATAGACTGGAGGCTCCATTTCATAATAAAACCCGGCCACAGTATTCTGGGATGACTGCATGTCATCTCAGGCATGTTCAGTAATGGCACTAATAGTATAGATATTAAAAGAAACCTAAGCATTGGAAACCAGACCTCTTCTTGTTAAATTAATTAGTAAGCTGAGCTAAAAACAGCTCCTCTTATGCACATTTGGTCCTTTTTTTTTTGCATTGTTTCAGTTCTGCTAAACTGGAGTGACGTCCAACAGTCTGTAATGTCTTTGGTTAATTACAGGTGTTACCATCGGAGAAGGGGGCTCTAACACAAATGCTGATGCGGAACTGTCAGAATATGGCTGTAGACCTGTGCTACGGCTGGTTAAAGATTCCACCGCGTTGCATGTTGAGCCATCCAGATGCCGAGCGAACCCTGAATCACCTCATCTCTGGCTTTGAGAACTTTGAAAGAAAGATCAACTACACCTTTCAGAACAAGGCATACCTCCTGCAAGCCTTCACCCACGCTTCCTACCATTACAACACTATCACTGGTAAGACTTCCTTTCAAGACTATGAAACTAGAATGAGACCATGAAGGCCTCATGATGGTGTTTAATGATTGAATTTGAGCTTTTTGATTTAAAGTGAATCAAAGAAACAAAAAAAAAAAACTAAGTAACACTTAACATACCAAAGGTACTGCAATATTCTGAGATCCATTCATACAGTGCAATGTAACTTGATTTATGCACACATACTGTGCATAATTACCTATGTCACTGACCTGTGCTATGATTTATGCACTGGTTCTATAATTACCTATGTCACTGACCTGTGCTATTATGATGTGGTGACATCATAATCTAAGATATAAAACCATCAGAAGAGTCTGACTTGCCCTAAGGAGCCGTAATGAAGGGCAAAAGTTCCCAAAATAACAACGAAAACAAAGAACGCAAACAAAGCAAAGCCCAATCCAATCTTTGTCAATCAATCCATCTTTACCTGCAAATGTAAACAAGGTCGTCATCCACGTATAGACCATGTGGAATCTGATTTAATCTGTGTTTAAAATTCACTCCAAAGAAGAGGTTGTTGAAGTGTGTATCCAGTAATCTAACAATGATGCTTGTTTTTTCCACTATGTTTGAATGTACATTAAAGGTTATGACCTAGCGGTTGTCTTCCCATTACGCAGCGTTTCTGTAAGCCAGGACCTCTGAGCCTTACCTCCAGATTGATTGTCCTCTCTCTGTAGATTGTTACCAGCGTCTGGAGTTCCTTGGTGATGCAATTCTAGACTACCTCATAACAAAGCACCTTTATGAAGACCCAAGGCAGCACTCTCCCGGCGTGTTGACCGACCTGCGCTCTGCGCTCGTGAATAACACCATCTTTGCATCTCTGGCTGTAAAGTATGATTACCACAAGTACTTCAAGGCCATTTCGCCCGAGCTTTTCCGCGTCATTGATGACTTTGTGCAGTTTCAGCTGGAAAAGGATGAGATGCAAGGCATGGATTCAGAGGTTAGTCCTGCTTCTGCTCAACATGGCTGACAGCAGAGCCGTGTCTAATCATTGCTGTTTTGATCAATTTCCTCTATTGGTTATAAGCATTATAAAAACTCTAACTGAACAATAACACACACCGCATTTAAGAGAGAACATGTAGGTGGGTGTAATTTAGCTGTAAATGTCCATCTTGGCATCGGAACTCCAGCTTTTCTGTTTGTGGTGTTTTATGTCAAATGTACATAGTTGATGAATTCTAATAAGGTTTAGAATGTTTTTTGTTTTTTTGTTTTTTTTAGAAAAATGCATTTAAATCATGGATGTTTGTTTGTGTCCATTTATATGTATGTTTATACCAGCTCAGTATCGCTCAACAAGGTCTGTAAATATTTGTGTTCCCACACCAGCTAAGACGCTCTGAGGAAGACGAGGAGAAGGAGGAGGACATCGAAGTCCCCAAAGCCATGGGTGATATCTTTGAGTCATTAGCTGGAGCCATTTACATGGACAGCATGATGTCACTGGAGACGGTGTGGCAAGTTTATTTTCCGATGATGAGGCCTCTTATTGGTAAGGCACAGTATAAAACTGACCTCTACATGTCATTGTTGTTACCTTATTTGGAATCAAGTTACTGACTGACAAAAATAACACATTGTAAACAGGGATGGGTCTGGTTTTTTAAAGTACTAGTATTTAACAAAATGAACAGTTTTTGGGGGGGGGTTTTCACCATCTAAATACAACTAATAAATGTATACATTTGTTTTGCCTTGGCGTAATCCTGTAGGTGATATTGTTTCACATAAATGACTTTCTCTCCTCACTTACAGATAAATTCTCTGCCAATGTGCCGCGCTCTCCTGTGAGGGAGCTCCTTGAGATGGAGCCAGAAACTGCCAAATTCAGGTAAAAGATATTTAAGTTTGTTTTTTTTTTTTTGTTTTTTTTTTTGTTTTGTTTTTTGTGAATTGGTGAGAGAAATGTTTAAAGTTCTGTTTTAAACCTGTGTCATCTTCTTTGTCTTTTTGCAGCCCTGCAGAAAGAACGTATGATGGAAAGGTGCGAGTGACAGTGGAGGTCGTTGGGAAAGGGAAGTTCAAAGGTGTTGGTCGCAGCTACCGGATTGCCAAGTCGGCAGCGGCACGGCGAGCTCTGCGCAGCCTTAAAGCCAATCAACCTCAGGTCCAAAACAATTGAGCTTCTTCTACTTCAAACACTCAGCGTTAGCTCCTAGGCTACAGACGTCTAAACAGAGAGAAAGTGGCAGGTTTGGCTTCTCGGCAAATGCTGCTGCATGTCTTGTGTCTCCGGCCGGCAGTGGTTCAACTTGGGCAGCAGAAGAATCAAATTGATCTCACAGTGAATTACGTATTGAATCTTTTACCCTCTTTTTGCGCATACACAATCTTTGTTTCCCCAGTCTTTTTGTGTAAGTACATGAGTGGTCTGTTAACATTTAGCCCAGTGTTTGTCAAAAGGCCTGGTCACAGAAACCTATTTCTTTTCACTTATAAAAACAAAAAAAAAGAAGCTTAATGTTTATGGTGTAATATTGAATTGTACATAATTCAATCAAAGTTGTAAATCAAAGTATGTAGAGGGGGAAAAAAGAAAAAAGAAAAAAACTCCATAACCTGTGCACTAGTGGAAAAAAGAAAAAACTCCATAACCTGTGCACTAGTGCCACTCAGTTATTTTGCGATTCTGGAGATGCTAATGTCAGAAGTGGCTAACAGATACCACTGGAACACAATGCTGGTAGCACCTCTGTCTAAAATCTGTTTTAAAATGGTTTAATTTTTGCACTTATTTCTAATAGGGTCTGTTTTAATGACAACTGTTTGGTCTCACTGACACCAAAATCATATTTGTTGCAAAATATATAAATATATATGGAAATGTTAAAGACAAATGATATAATGGACTTGTCTTGACGTGTCCTGAGAGATGGATAGGAATTGCTACATTCCCAGTTACTGTAATTTAAATCTTTGTTTGGTTGATGTTCTGTAGCTTATGATGAAAGCACGACAACTGGGTGACTTCTGGGAAGGATCCAAGTCCACAGTTATCTACACTGTGTGAAAGAAATATTCCACGGTTATGGCATTTTCATGGCAAATCCATTAACCACATTTCAGTACCAGGAATTGGTTGATTGTTGAAGCTGATGTCAACAGAGGGACAGACATATCACACATACAATATGCTGCAGATTCTTTTTACGAATTGGACACCGGTGTAAGATGCTGAGAATGTTTTCAAATACAGAAAGACAATTGATTAAAGCTCACCATTCTTTGTGACACCCATACCAACCAAAGCCAAAGAAGATGACATATTGAAATGGAAGTCAATTCCTAGGGATAAGGATTTTTTTTATTATTATTATTATTGTTTGCTCCTCGCTTATTGTCTTTTGTTTCTCATCATTTTACCCCCCTTCACCTGGATACCTCAATTAATTGCATGCATTTTCTTGTCTTTTTTTTTTTTTCTTTTTTTGTTTGGTGCTATGTTTTTTGTATTAAGCTTGAATTTCTTATCTTTTTTTGCACTGTAACTATAATACCTCCTTATTTGAATTGTGATTAGTTCGAGATCCGTTTCAATTAGTTTTTCAGCCATCAAGCTGTTGAGGCAAAATATCAGCTTTTCCCAAACCTGATGTTTTCTGGATTGGGCAAAGTGTGTGTTCAGATCACCTGTTTGTGTCGTCACTTGAAAAGCTGTTGTTGTTGGGTTTTTTTTTTTTTTTAAATTGTCATTAAAAACAAACACGTGAATTGGTCTTGAAGAGGTCATCAGATTGCACTCTATAAATCTGGCCAGAAATAAAGAGTAGAAAATTTCCTCTCGATTACTCATGTTATTCTTAGCTATACAGCGACCTGAAATGTAATTCAGTCACACAGATGTGATACTACCTCATAGCACATTATGCTAAATGTTCAAATACAGACTGGACTGTGATTTTTTTTTTTTTTAAATATATCCCGTCGAGTTGAGGTTTGCAGAAATGTTACACATCTAAAATGTCTTTAGCATTGTGTATGTGTGTATGTATGTATATATGCATACACTATATATGTATGTATATATTTGCGTATTCATATGTGTATGTACTGTATGTATATGTATGAATATATATATATATATATACACGTATATGCATATATGTATATATCTTAGATGCACCAATTGGAGTTTTTTTTTCTTTTGGAAAGTGTGGCTTTTCTTCATTGGCAGCATATAGAAAAAGTAAAAAGTGTTCTTCAGAGTAATGTTCTCATAACCAGTAATAATGAAACATTTCCCACAAACTGCACTCGCTCAAAGGTCCACTCTTCAGTCCAAGAATATCTGCAGTTTATATTGATGTTGGCTTCACTTTAATAAGTGAGTATACATTTATATAATTTCCTTTGTCTTGGTGACATTTCCTCTTATATCACTGAAACTAGGAAATTGATATATCACAACTTAAGTAAATCCAAAGTTTGATATAGATAATTCTATATACTCTACTGTACTGTGTGTATGTAGACTGTATTTATACACACATGCACTAGTATGAAAAAGTGTTTGCCACTGCGTTTGTCACTCTTAAATGTTCATCATCAAACAATTTTAAATGTTAGACAGAGATAACATAAATAAACACAAAATGCAGTTTTTATATGGAGGTTATTATTATTATTATTATTAAGGGGAAGAAAATGTGATAAATAACTTGCTGGGCCATTAGCAGCAGATAACTGTCAGTGGATTATTTACAGTGCTGTGGTGGACCTGCATGACAAGACGAAAAGATCCTCAAAAACTAGACCCAAAGAAATTCAGAAACCAAGGGGAACAAAGTATTTGAGAGGTACTTATTATATCCGTCTGAAAAAGGTTAGAAATGCAGTTGAAGCATCATTTAAAAAACTTCGTTATCTGTTTGCTTATGTTTTCTTTGTCTAATATTTAAATTTGTTGGATGATCGGAAATGATCATCGGAATGTGCTAACAATGCTTTTGCGCACCACTATATATATATATATATATATATATATATATATATATACACACACACAAGGCCTTCTATTCAGGCATACAGTTATGTTAGTGGTTTGAGTGATTTGATTTGATAGTAAAACAACGCAGAGTTTCACATCTAGCAAACTACATCCAGAGACCCAAAATTGAAGTTTTCTCTGTGTCTACTGGTTCTATCAAGTGGACATTCTCAGCCTAATGCGAATTAAAACGCAAAAATACAACAGGACACACTCAACTTTCATTGTTAGTATGGACGAGGACAGTAAAGGACACGTTGTTTGAATTGCAACTCACAGATAACCTGTACAACAGCGTATTTGAACGCATCTTAAAGAAATAGAGGAGGATGGAGTTTGTCTACGACTAATTAGAAGTTTTGGTGAATGAAATACATTTTGTATAATTATATTGTAATTTATCATGTTATTATTTTTGACACATCACAGCGGTGGCTAAATTGTGCTTCGTGGGTTTATTGTTTTAGTGATGGTGTTATTATGGCTACATGAGTTATCTAGGATATAATGACTCGTTTTATACTACATTTCTGCATAATGCTGATGGTTTCTGTTGCAGTAACCTGTTGTTTATACGAGTTCTCCGTAGCCAGTTTGTTAGCTGACTGTTAGCCTTGTCGTGTGTGCTAGATAAGTAAACGGAGTCACGAGAAACCCGAGTCTTCCCTCCTTCCCTCCAGTGTCTGCAGCCATAATGAGGTTAATAACAAGTGGATTTGTTCAGACAGGACGTCACTGAACGCCGAGGTGTGAAATACACGGTACGCCGCTGTGTACACGAGATACTGTTTTACCCTACTTTTAATGCACAGCACCTGGGCAGTTTGAAGTGTTCTTGTGTAATCGTTTCCTTGATGTAATGATATCACCAAGTGAGTTTGACGGTTGATTCAGTTGAGGATAAAGAATCAGTGGAAGTCGATCAGAGCTGTAGAGTGCGTTGGCACACGCAGAAGAAAACATGACTTTTTGACTGCTCCTAGGGGACGTCGACCTTTGCCACTCATGTCGACCTCCGTATATGTATGTATATATGTACAATATATATTTGTGCTTGCGTGTGAGAGAGAGAGAAATGACCCAAGACAATATTTCTAAAAAATAAACATTTCAAAGGACTCTTTATCAGACTTTTTGGGTGTGCAGTACTTTACAATTACACTTCTCAGAAAGTATACATAAAAAACACCTACTTTTACCATAAACATATCAATATTACAACTGCTTAAATAATCTTGTCATATTGTAACCCATTGGTAATGGTAATAATCAGTAGTTTAAAAACTAGTTTCAATGTATTCGCTAAACAGTTTTCATAAGTTCTTCTACAACAGCTACTTTGGTAAAATTGTTTTGTTTTTTTTTCTTATTTCGTTGTTTCCTAAATTCATATACCTTCTATGATTTAAACAAAAGTTCCAATAAGTCTAAATATAGAACTGGACTAATGCTATGTGCTTCCATGTGTACATACATGGCTAGAATTTAGTTAATAATATCTTGACAGTATACGATTTCATGTCAAGTGTCCTCGGCATTTAAAGTACTACGGCAGCTGACATTGATTGGGGTTTGTAAGGCGCGTACTCTTGAAGTACCCACAGGATCACTTGTTGCCTGGTGTGGGTATCTGTATCTCTCTAGAACAGGACACGTCCTCAATGTCGGGGTCATATGCTTCCTCAATTGTTGGGGTGCTTGGGTCCCAGGTCTCATTCTGACAAGGTGTCCTGCTTCCTTCATGCAGTGGAGTCTGAGAGCCGCAGTGAGAAGTGAAGCTTTGATCATGCAGTGGAGTCTGAGATATATTTATTCTTGTTCTCAAGCCTGTGTCGTACATAGTTTGGGAACCATACATTGAGATGTATTCATGAGTCATCATCATTCCACTGTGTCTTTTAGGCCCCATGATCATCAAGCGCTGTCTGTCCACAGAGATGGTCTGACAGGTGGAGTGTAGCTCTACTCTGGCAGTGATCTCTGTGGCATCCTTCACCACTCCGATGTATCCTTTGTAAGGACCTTGGCAGATGCGAACCGTTTCACCAATCAGTTCGGATTCTCTCCGTCCCAGGACTCGACCCATTCCTTCCATTTTCTGACTTTTATTGCGGTGCACTGGGCTGCTGACGCGCGGGCTCATCAGAGGGACTGCGCCTGAGGCGAAGTTGTTCACGTCTCTGGGTTTAGAGCCACCCACTAAAATCAGATGCCGCGTCTTGCAAACAAAAAAACCTCCATTTTCCACTTGCATCTTACAGTGAAGAAATGCAAATCCTCGAAACAGGTGCCGGATTTCTCCTTCCTGGCCAGCGTGCCGCCCGTCGATGACCTTCACGATATCCTTGACATGCACGTTGTTCTGTTCGGAGTCGAGCGCCACAGCAAATCGATTATTCTTCCTGTGATTCACAGCCTGGTACCGCACCGTTACTACATTGCCGTGCATGTTCATAACCTGAAATGTCTCTCTCTCCAAGCGGATAATTACCCCAACCGTCTGTGGGTCCAGCTGGACAAGCTCCCCCCACTCATACTGACCCCCTACATCCACCCCAGAGGCTCTTTGCGGGCAAAGCTGCAAGTCTCTGGGTAGAACTTTGAGCTCATGCATAGTGAGGTCAGAAAAGAGGACGATGAAGTCCTCCTCCACCCTGACGATGAGGCCCGTGTCTCCCTCGTATCTCCCAGCAACCACCTTTACGTGATCACCCAAACAAAAGTATTTACGTAATTCTTCAGCCGGGAACTCCAGGGGGTCCTTCAAGTCCTTGTGTCTGGGCATAATGGTGACTCTACCCTCATCCACATTTAGGATCTTCCCCTGCAGATTGACCAAATCGCCTGCGCTCACCTCTACATTGTCCCCAGCCTGAAAGTTGTGTTCACACTCGTCACCTGGATTAATGATGACCTTTAGATCACTTCCTTCAGGCTGTTCTTCAAACTTGTCCAGCTCGGACAGAGTGGGCTTCACACCATCCGTGATCACAGCCGACATGGTGAAGTGCTTGAACAAAAATCCCTTGGAATTGTAACGGTTTCCCTTATAAATAAAGAAGTCTCCATCATGACTGACCTCTCCGCCTAAAGATTTGATCTTCTCCACATCAAACAGTTTTTGAGCAGGCCTCTTGTACGTTTTCTTAGCGGACCAGTCTTTCAGACTCATCTTTGTCTTGATCCGTTCCAAATCTATTCGAGGGATCATCTTCAGGATAACAGTGTTCCGATATAGCTCCACACGGTCAACCTGTGCAATGTCGTCCCTGTACAGGCCTCTTCTCAGTCTTACCCACGACTTAGGCTTTAGATTGGTGACCTCTTTAATGACCCTAATAACATCGGTCATTTCTTTAATGGGAACCATTTTCATGTTCCAAAACCCTATCCTCAAGTTGCGAATACCCTCGATGGCTACCTTGACGTGGGTTTGCTTAAAAGACTCTATATAGATGATGCCTTTTATGTGATCAGGCACCACTACAGATTTAATCTGCAGGGGCGTGTCTCTACATTGGTAGACGATGAACTTTCGCAGCAGTGCAATGGCCATCGCTCTTTCTTCTCCCATTTTGCACTGTACGGTCCACAGGTTTGGGTCCTTGACACCAGGTAGAAGCTTCTTCTGGACAATGTCATCACAACCTAACTGGCAATGATCTTCTCCTGAGGGCTTGGTGTATTTCTTCATGTAGTATTCACACAGTGCCTCCTCACTGGAACCCTTCCAGAGCTTCTGAAGCGCTCTGGAGCCAGGGTTGTCCTCCTTCAGATCCATGTGGTTGATGGTTTCTTCGGCTCCTCTCTCCCACTGATCATCCTCCTGATCGTAGTCCTCATCCACATCCGCTTCATCCAGGATGAATCCCCCATACCTTGGAGTTTTCCTTGGACACTGACCTTCATCATTGTCCTTTTCATCATCTTGTTCATCCTCAATCTCCATGTCCTCTTCTTCCTCACTTGGTTCTGCTTCAGTGCTCTGATGCATGGCTGTTATCCGACGGAGTCAGTTAGTGAGAATTTCTCTTTGAGCTTGTGTTACTCTTATTCATTTTTCTTTCCTTCCCCCTTCTCATGTCAGCACATTAAAGTCTTTAATTCATGTGTTTACCCTTTAAAGGATCAAAGGATTCAAAGATTCTGTCCATTTTAAGGAGAAAATATTGTGATGAAAGAAGAAAGTATTCATCTTGTTTCTGGAAAACTGATTTTTTTTTTTTTTTTTTTTATTGTGATGAAAGAAGAAATTATTCATCTTTCTGGAAAACTGATTTTTATTTTTTTTTAATGGAACCACTTGGAGAATCACCGCTTTGATTGGTTGATTTATTTTCTTTAATTGGTGAGAATCCGCTGAACTACAAACAGCAACTCAAACCGAGAAAACGTTCGAGTTCAGTTTACCATTTGTACAGAATTCAACAGTGGTGGAGGGTCAAGGCTATCAGTACTACAATCTGTGACTTATGTTCCAATATATGTAGAATGAATATTTATAATGTAATCTAAAAAAGTCTGATCTCTGATTAATTAATTCATAGCTTTTCTTTTGGTCACACTTTCTCCAGTTTTGTATTTTATACTTAGGTTTTGCTTTATCCAATCATGTTTCAGTCAGCATGTGTTGCCAGGGTCCAGGAAGTCTGCCTTAAGGCCTCCAGGACCTTCAAGCAGGTGTACAATGATGTTGGCAGTTAGAGTGATTTGATTGGATGATCAAAGAACAAACAGGCCTGAATCTGAATCTACCAAACTGCATCTGTAAAGTCAACTGGTTAGTTAGTGGTGGTTACTATCACTGTACTGTTGAACCAACAGTTTCATCTCGAGGAAAGAGGAGGATGGATAATGTGTAAAAAATAATCAGAGGTAAATTGGACGGTTCAGTGGGCCAGATTTGGCCCATGAGCCACTATTTGATGATCACTGGTCTGAAGTGTCAGAGTGCAATCTGTCATAACTTTTCAAAGACGAGTCTTACCCTCTGTATTACCCCTAAAGTTAACCCACACACACGACTAATATTTAAAATCGGTCTGATATTGGTCCAAACGTCAGGATCGAACATTGAAAAGAAACAACTATGGCTCGTCCGATCCGATATCTAAGCCCAAATTTGCTTGACATGTCATGAACAGAGACGCTATTGCCTCAGCAACGGCCGCCCACGGCATGCTGGAGGAGAAAGAAGGTATCAAATTGATATTGGTATCGACAGATAATCTCAAGTTTCAGTATTGGTATTGGACATGAAAAAGTTGTATCGAGACATCCTTCGTAGGAAGGAAAGGTTTGTGCTCTTTTTGAAACATTTAAATTCAAATTTTTTGTGGTTTTCTTCAATCCTGAAATCCTCAGTGACACTGGACTAAATAATGAAGAAATATTTATTTCTTGCATTCTTCAGATTGAGAATGTTGTTTACCTTAGTGATGTATACCTTTTGCAGAACACAATGGATTTAAAGTCATTGTGTTCTGTCTTGATATAAACAGACCAAACTAATGATGGTTCAATCCTTTAATAATCTGGATTCATCCAAAATCTAGCCACACCACCACTGCCGTATAATATCAGGAACCATTCTTCAAAAACAGCAGCACACGGTGGTCTAAACCAGGGGTTCCCAAACCTTCCCATTCCAAGACCCCCCAAAACAGCATTAGCTTCTGGCCAGGGACCCCGTTTGGAAACTCACAGACCATGCTACAAAATATATAAGAAAAAACAACTTTTAGAATATATTTTCTTACTTGTATTCACTATTCAATCATCATTACATTAGCTTTGCATAAGAAAATTAGCAAATGTTTTCAGCATGGGATTGGCTTTAGCTCCGCCCACAACCAAAAAAGGTAGCAGTGGAAAATTCTCCCTTCCATTTTTTAAAATTGTATTAAAAAAATATGCATCTTGAACTTTGGTGGCTAAAAAACTAAACTTACTCATCGTGTAGTGACTTAGCAACAGCACCTGAAACTAAACTACAATTTAAAATTTTTTTTTGTCAGTTTTACATCAAAGCCCATATAAGGTCACGTTTACTTTCATCCTCCATCCTGTACATTTTTCAGTTGCATCACTTGAATGATCTGTTCTGGTTTCAGACTCAACTGACTTTCAGCAGTAACTTGTTTTTAAACGTTGACATGTATTTGTTCTGGTTTCACACTCAACTGACTCAGTAACTTGTTTTTAAACGTTGACATGGAAAATTTGACAACCCTCTGTTTAGTGTCTCTTTCACAGAAAGATGGTGAGATTCTAGCCTCGTCTGGCTGCAGTTAAGGTTTAAAAAAAAGAAGCATTTTCAGTGTCAAATAAATCAAAATAAATCTGTTCTAACACCTTTTGTTTCTGCGGATGTAATCGCCTTATGTCCAGTTTTATGACAACTGCCATGTGGTCAGATCTTCTGGACGTCAGGTGGTGTGTTTAATGCAGATGTTGTCCCTCACTTTGACTCTGTGATACAGCAGTGACTGAGACCATGTCACACAACACCAGCAGAGCGGCGCTCAACTGCACTGTATATGAGACGTCATGGGACACTACGACCTGCAGAACATTTTTAAGGAGCATGTATTGTGTAATGCTAACCACACTACTCATCCATACTGTAATAGTGGGCAGCAGAGTTCTGCAGTCTGCACCTTATGGATCACCAAGGATTTGATTTCCTCTTGGAAATCTAACGTTTCTATCTCTGTATATCTACAATAAAAGGCATTGGAATGGTTAGGGAATCTGTGCTGTTTCTTTCTCAAACCTCCAGTTTAAACCACAAGGTGGAGGTAGCACCACCTTGTGGTCAATTAGTATAATGCATTTTGACCACATTTACAGGCTGTTTTTCTGTGTGCGCGTGTACCACGGGTCTGATGTCAGGAGAACATGCTAGCCTGCCGGGATATGAGGAAAAAAAGAACAAAACATAAAAAGAAGAAATTATCATTAAATTATGTTTTTAATTCTTGCTTTTTATGTACAGAAGCCGATTTCCACCGCTAAATAATTATAATGGTATCTCACAGATTCATTTTTCACCACGCCGGTGGATACGGCCTTATGTTTTTATAACCGTCAGATTTCAGTTGTCGTTGTCACCGTGCGATATCTCACAGCATATTTAGTCCACATAATAAAATCCAGCACAAACCGGAAGACTCCAGCTGTTGATTGAAGCCTTTGCGAGTGTAAGTAAATAGGAAAAAGAGCTGACGGCGTCTGCTTAAAGAGATAATCGACAAAATGTCAACTTTTTATGATGTCGTGACTGCGGCTGTTATGAATTGTTTGTACAGAGTAGACGCCGGGGGAGGAAACGCTGAGCCCAAACGGCTCATTCCCCAGCAGCAGTTAAACGCCTCATCTCCGTCTCCGTCTTGATGAGACACAAATGCTGAAATGAGACGTGGACATGGCAGGCTCTATAGGAACAGCATGGAGAACGGTGGGAGAGGTGGTTCATAATTAAAAATATCATTTCAGCTCCCGCTCTGGCCTATTTCCATTCAGAATTACCATGTCCCCACAGGTAAATTGCTCCCTGTACTCCAGCCATGACGGTAACGACTGGTGGTTAGGCCTGACAACACGTCTCTTTGATTTAACCTAAATGAAAAATATGCCATCAGTAGCTGTGACTCAATCATTGTGACTAAAAATATGATTCCAGCCCGGCTGAACAGAGGGGGCGAATCACGGGGTAAAAGTATGCTATTAGGTTCGGCTGATGGGAAGGGATACTGACACCTCTGCTGTGTGTTTGTGTCCGTCACCTGGGTCATTTCAACTCTGCAGGAAAAAGCCTTATTATAGTAATAGAAATAATATATCAAAAAATATATATCGGTTTTGGTTTTGTCTCCTGGTCTTATTTTTCAAATAGTGTGGCTGAGGGTACGGTTTCCTCGCAGCTAACTGCGTATTTGGTCGGGACCTGAGGGAAATAAGATGAGATCTGCATTCACACGAGTGAGATGTTGACGCTGAGATGAAGACGCAGAGTGGAAGACTTGTTGATAAGACACCGATTAACACTTGACCCCAAAAAAAAAGGGGGAAAAAGAGCATAAATATGTTTGAGTGCAGGACTGTTTGTTGGTGTTTTTTGGTGTTTTTGTTGATACTTCAAAAAGTCTAATATACAAACTACTGTTAATTATTTGGTTGATTTTCAGGTGGTACGATACCCTTTGTGGTATTTTAGAGTTTAACTTTGACGCACATAATACAGGGGGGTCCTCGGTTTACGACGTCCTCCACTTACATCGTTTCACTGTTAAGTCTCCTCAAACCTTTATTTCAATTTATTAAGAAAGTTTTGGTGTTTTTATAGAAACAAAACGAAGAATTTAAAAGTACGTCTTTGTAGATGGTATGTGACAGGGTGTTCAGGAAGTCGTGCAAGACATGTACTGTATAAGGCCAGCATGTTAGGTGTGCTGCCAGAGAGACTGATGGGTTTAAGCTCATCATGGGGTTACATAAGGGATCAGCTCCTTTTTGTTTGCTATGTTGATGGACAGGTGACAGATAAGGTCAGACAGGAGACTCCATGGACCGTGATGTTTGCAGATGATGATGTCATCATCATGTGGTGAGAGTAAGGAGCAGGTGGAAGGAAACCTGGAGGTTTTCTTTGTCGAGGAGAGAAACGAAGGTCAGCAGGTCTGTGGACCAGAGTGAGGCGAGTGGAACCACAAATCTGTAAGGACGGCTGTGATGTATGGGTTAGAGCAGGGTGGGCAAAACGTTTGGCCACGATGAGGTTTACAATGTGGGCAGCCAGACTGCTGCACTGACCACAGAGCTGACAAAAAAACAAACAAACTAGACAACAAACACACTCAACAGGAACCCTGTCCAAAACATAGTAGGTAGGACGTCACTGTGTGGTCACTGAGATTGAAGGGAAACAGACGCAGCTCACAGTGGATGGAAAAAAGAATGGCGACCTCCAGTGGAGAGGATATTTAGTTTAGCTTCTAATTCTGTTTTCAATCATAACACTTTTTGATAATGGTCTATTTTGACAGACACTTTTAGGGAAACATTTCTTTTGGTAAGCTGAACATCAAAAGTTTACGTTAGCAGGAAGAAAAGGGGGGAGAAAACACAGGGGGAACCTGAGACTCACCCTCAGAGTGACACTTTGACTCACCCCCAGAGTGACACTCTCACGCTAACACTCAGACTGAGACTCACCTGAGACTCAGAGTGAGACTCAAACTCAGGCTCACTGTCGTTCTCCACCTCAGACTCACATGGAAACTGTGTTTAATGAAATACTTGGACATCATAAGAGTGACTGATGAAGAATATAATTTGTGGTCACATTTTGTGGGAAAAAGCTGAAGAACACTGTGGCTAATGTGACACTAATGTGTGAGTAATCAACAGATGTGTTTGACATGCAGCTGTGACTCTGCTACAGTATGAGCTACGGCCCTCTGTGAGCTCATGACCATTTATAAAAACAATAGTTTAAGGTCAAGTTTTATTTTGTTTTTCTAGTTGATTGTCATGAACAAGAGAAAAGGCACGTTTCTCAGTGCAATGGAATTCTTTCTTTGCTGATTTAAGGTGATGCTGTGGACCATGGTTGTGACTCCTGTCACATGTTCAGGAGTTCAGGAGTCACAGAGAGTTATTTAAATCAGTTTGTATTTCACCCTTCTCTACCTCTGGTCAATAATTCATACATTTGATTTAATATTGTGGTCCCCCGTAAACCCACAGACAATGCTACAAAATATGTAAAGAAACATTAACATTTAAAATGTATTTTCTTACTTTTATTCACTATTGAAAGATAAAATAATATATAATAATATTTTCAAATATATAAATATTTAAAAAATGTATAAAAAAAAAATAAAAAAGTAATTTGATCATTTAGTTGCATTTTTTTCTCATCGTCCCTTCAATTTTCTGAGCCTCCCCAGGGCTCCCCTTGGGCCCACGGCCCCCACTTTGAAAACCACTGGTGGGTTAGGTGATTAAAATGTTTATGTTTAGCACCAAACGTACAACAGCCTGAATTCCATGGCTACAAAGAAACACTGCAAGGATTTATAATCATTATTAATCTTTACGTCAAGTCTACATGCCAAAGGTAAATCCCTGGAATGCAGCCGTTAGGTGCGGTGACTGCAGGCTGATGAAGATGACATGGAGCCATCGCTCCAGATGTCTGAGCTGAGCAGCACTGACATGGATACCAGCAGAGATAAGCCACAGCATCTCCTCATGCAGAGAAACCACAACAGTCTGCTCCGTCGAGCTGTTGTGATTGCTAATACGCTACAGCTGTGACCATGAAATCAGGACTTAGCATAATTAGCCACTTTAAAGAAGATATTTAATACCAACATTTTCAAGTAAATACCAAGGTTTTGCTGCTACTTGATGATAATCTGATATCCATGTCTCTCATCTTGTGTATTTTTCTTCTTAACAACCGTGCCATTTGGGGCACAGAGATGAGACATGGGTGCAGTTTGGACTGTCTGTTCACGTGCCAGACCAAAAAAAAAGAAAAAAACAGCCATGCAAGAGCCTCTATTCCTATTTGTAGGAGGGAATTCATTATGACACATGCAGTTTTTGGAAGAAAATTGCAGGAGCATAGGGATAGCATTTCACAGTTGGAGGCTTTTGACCATGTGGCCTTTTTGCAGTGAGGTATTTAGCAGCTAACATGCAGGTTTTTACCACATTTACGACAGACAAACGAAGAACAGGAAATCATATGGAACACAAACGGACATGAAGCGTCTCAAGAATGTTTTTTTTTACACAATAAGAAATTCATATTTTCAGGACTCACCATTTTTTGCACTGCTCAAATGATCGAATCAAAATTAGCATCTTCTGCCCACCTGGGTTAGCATGATCCTACGTGGCTGTGGGTGTGATGCTAACCTGCTAAAACTACTTGCTTACTCTCTAAGTGAGTACCGGGCACGTGAACTTGCATGCGTGACGGGGCTGGGAGCTATCTGTTTGAATTATTCCAAGCGAGGTAATTCATCTAAACTCACGATTGGTTGTTTGTGCAAGATCCCTAAACTTCAGCAAAGCTAATTTGGCTGATGATGCCTTCCACCAGTGATGTAAGTTGAGACCTTGACGACTGATGATGAGGCATAAAAGAGCCAAATCAAGGCTTCCTCCCTGGGCTGAACTGACTTTGGCCTCTCAGCTTTCACCCTCAGCTGTTTAATGCCTTCCCAGAGCGGCCAGGGCGGAGCTGCAGCATGACGAGGTCCTTAATGAAGTGTTTTCAGATGTTAAAGCTTTGCAGCCTTCTAATAAAGGGTTGCCATAAGAGAATTAGCTAAGCCTTAGGTCCCGGCCCCCACTATCCCCTCTGTAACACTAAACTTACACCCTCACCACCTTTCCTTAAACCCTCCTCTCAAAATCCACATCAATATATATTTATAGCCAGCTAACCCCAAATTTAATTCCACTTTTGCTTACCGCAAACACTGGTGGCAGACCATCGGGCCTCAGCTTTGTGTCGGTTTTATTACTCGGTTTTACACTAAATACATCTCACATTTACACTTACTGTATGTTACGGCAGTCCACAGAGAAACGCTGGACTGCACTGGTGGGACCTTGTTTATGTTCTCCAATTGGGCACCTTCTGAGGTTGAGGGGGCAAAGGCAACAGCCAGGCCACCGTGGCAAATAATGAGGTGTCGCTGGAGCGGCTTTTTAAGAGTC